GGACTCACCAGTACTGTGATTGTACCTGAAGAGGGTCGAATGCCCGCTTCCGCAACCACATCCAGAGCCTTACCTGATGATGTATTAACAGAAGGTACAGTGGAAATAGTGTGGAACTTTGAATCCCATGGATAAGAATTTTTTTGACTGTTTTAAAAATTAACATTTTCTGCAACTTCCTTATCTTTGTCAATGTTACTTTTTTTTTTTTTCCTGAGACAAGTTCTTGCTCTCTTACCCAGGCTGAAGTGCAGTGGTACGATCATAGCTCACTGCAGACTGGAACTGCTGGGCTCAGGTGATCCTACTACCTCAGCCTCCCAAGTTGCTGGGACATATTGGCACATGCTACCAAGCTTGAATCATTTTTTCTTTTTTTTTTTTTTAAGACAGGGTCTCCCTATGTTGCCCAGGCTGGTTTGGAATTCCTGGGCTCAAGCGATCCTCTCACCTTGGCTTCCCAGTGTTGGCATTACAGGTGTGAGCCATTGTACCCAGCCTATTCTCTTTATCTTAAGCATTCAGAGTAGGATCTTGAACATTTTAAAAATTTTGGCTTAACTTTTAAGTTTCTTATATGCTATTAGACACCAAATTCTATTGATTTTTTTTCCTTTGAATGGCCTTTGAAACCATACTTTCCAGGGCTTTGCTAGCTCAGGCCTGGGATGACAGCAAGTTTCCCAGCTAGCTACCTTCCCCCACCTCACCCTCCATCCTGCCTGGTCCTGACTAATCAAGTCATCCTTTCCTACCATTGTCTCATCAAAAGATTCTGCCAATTCTTTCTCCTTTCCTTCCTTCTTTTTACAAGCATTTATTAATCCCCTAACATGAACAATCTCTAAACCTTTTTTTGCTAATCTCACGCTCCCTACTTATCCCAACCAATTTCTCAGTATATTCCGATCATAATGTCCCATCTAATGAGGCATGACTCCAGTGTCCCACAGCCATGCCAATAGCCCTGCCTCTTGCTTTCGTTCACATCTTCAAATGATACTTGAAGCTATAGCTGAAGTCTCGTCTCTTCTTATGGACACTTCAGTCTTCATTGACCTTTCACTCCACTGAACTTCTGTAGTCACACCAAACTGAACTCTTTCAACAGTCTTTTATCCTTTGCTCCTTTTGATTAATCTGAAACCCTTGCTAGCCTTGTTACAAATCATTTATTTCACTTCTGAATATTCACCAGTCTGAGCAGTTATAGATGCCTCGTCACACATGCATTTTGTCTGATTTTTGAGTCTCCAATTTACCTGTGTAACTGTCTTTTAGGTTGTTTGATATATTCATTTATTAAACACCTTGGCATTATCCCAGGCACTGTTTCTAGATGCTGAGAACAGAGTGGTTATTTAGAGAGGATACAGAAAAAATAGCTCTCCATCCTGGCCTCATGAAGAACAAGAACATTTCAGAGCCAAGCTTCAGGGAGTTGTTCTAAGACTGGACATTTTATTCAGGTGCGATGACGGATCATTTGGTTGTTCCATAAGAAGTGTCTAAGTTTTTAACAGGATTCCTGCCTTTGATGAATTGCTTTCTTGACCTCATGGGCTCCTTCTTGTTTACGATTTCTGCATCCTCATTGCTTCTCTTAGTAGTTTCTGCATACTCACTTCTTTGGTGCATCTTTTGTTTTGTTTTTGCCCTTTCATAGGGATTCCCCAAAGAGAATGTGATAAGGTTGTTAGTTGTTGGCTGGTCACGGCGCTCATTCCAGGACCCTCTTACAGACTAGACTGCTGGTGAGCCTACATTGGCAAATCTTGGATCAGGCACCTCCTTCAATCCAGCTGTGATCAAGAACGGAGGGATCACTCTGCAGGTTTTTCCATGTAGGGCCTGAGACGCTTCTCTAAAATAAGAAAGTATAACTTGAAGGTGCCTTGGTTCACTTTAATAAAATCTGTAAATATCTAGCATCTAGAAAAGTGCTTGGACCACAGTAAATTAGCTCACTAAACTGTATCTAGAAGCATTGTACATATACATATTTTCATCTTAATACCAAATGTGACACTCACCTGATCCTAAAACCAATTTTATAGTCCCATTTGGTGAAAAAAAAGTTTCAATCTATATAAATTAAAGAAAACCTCACGTATTCTGAGATACTATTACTTCATTGGTCCCCATCTGACCACAATGCATTTGGCAAGGTCATACAATATTATTATTAAAATGTTCCTTTTCTGAGACAAGAGTCTTGCCCTGTCACCCAGGCTGGAGTGCAGTGGCATGATCATAGATCACTGCAGCCTTTAACTCCTGGGCTTCAGTCATCCTCCTACTGTAGCCTCCTGAGTAGCTAGGACTACAGGTGCACACCCTTACAACTGGCTATATTTTTTACTTTTTGTAGAGATAGGGTCTTTCTTTGTTGCCTGGGCTGGTTCTTGAATTCCTGGCATCAAGCAATCCTCTTGCCTCAGCCTCCCACAATGCTGAGATTACAGGTATGACCCGCTGTCCCTGGCCAAAAGTTTCTTAAATTCTATTAAACTAGCTTTTATTTTTGAGGTGTTGAACACTCTGAACTAAATTTATTTCACTTTCATTCTTTATAAAACTGGTCATTTGACTCAATTTATTTCAGATATTTTATTCTAGGCTTAGACATTTTTTCCCATAAGAATTGTTACAATCTTGATTGCCCATGAAATAAAGCCTTTTCTGGCATTTCTTAACCTTGCATGGAATGTTGTGATTGCCTCTATAAATTTTTCTGGTATATAGCTATGGCATAATAGAAACTAGCTTGCCTTGTACTTGGCTAAAATGTAAATCTTTAAAAAAATGCAACTCAGGCCACGCACGGTGGCTTACGCTTGTAATCCCGCTCTTTGGGAGGCCAAGGCGGGTGGATCACTTGAGGTCAGGAGTTCAAGACCAGCCTGGCCAACATGGTGAAACCCTGTCTCTACTAAAAATACAAAAATTAGCTGGGTGTGGTGGCGCACGCCTGTAGTCCCAGCTACTTGGTAGGATGAGGCAGGATAATCGCTTGAACCCAGGAAGTGGAGCTGAGATTGCACCACTGCACTCCAGCCTGGATAACAGAGTGAGACTCTGTCTCAAAAAAAAAAAAAAAAAGTGCAATTCGTGAATTATTTTTCAGTTCCAGTCAATATTGTTGTCTTACTCTCAAATAGGTAAATTCTCATTCACTTTAAAATCTTTCTTGAAAGTGTCATGTTGGCCTCAGCTGCAGTTTGCCTTACACATTTCCATCTTATTACCCCTTTCAACAACCTCTGCTGATATTACACCCTTAGTGAATCTTCATAAAATCACTTACCTCTGCAATCAACAACTTGACCCCTCAGTTGCTGCATTACCTTTATTCTCTAGGCAAGTTTTTTTTTTTTTTTTTTTTTTTTTTTTTAAAGAATGCTGGTATCATGGGATAAAGCACTCAAGAGTTTCCTATTTTTCTTTGGTATGAGAAGGTAGTGCACTGGCGTTGAGAAGCAGAGACCAAAAGGCGTGTTGATACATGCATCCTCAGAAGCTTGCATTATTCAAAAATATTTTGGGATATAATCAGTGAACTAAAGGTAAAAGACATTAAATCATAGATGAGCATAAAATCTACACCTCCCAAAGCAGAGAAATGGATTGAAGCTGAGAAAAACATTCTGAGGACTTCAACCTGTATGTACGAAAACACAGATCCAGGTCTGTGTGGCCTCTTTGATTAGGGTGGAGAGCATCAGACCTTCACCAAAACCTTCTACAATATCCCTAAAACTTGGCAAAGTTCTATTATTAACATAACATAGATTAACCTCTGTCCCTGCAAACTGTTACACTTGGCAAATACTTATTTCTTGATACCCTTAAGTGGAGACCAGTCTTGTGCTACACAGAGGTATCCTAAAACGTAAGTCTAATAAAACCTAAAAGGATAACAAACCATGGCCTATTTGTCACTGTCTCATATTTTTAGAAGAACACAAATAGTGATGATAAAGAAGTTATTTTCCAAAACATCAGATTCTTAGTATTTTTTTTTTAAAGCTTAAGAAAATTAAGCTTTCTGAGTGACAGTTTAGGAAAGTCCCTGAGGAATGGGTTTAGAGTGAAAAGACAACATAGGTGAGCATGTAACAACATACACAAACACGCAGGTTCTTCATTTTTTAAAAGGTGTGGTTGAAGCTACTAGAATGGTAAATAAATAAATTGCCTGACTCTTTTGGTGTCCAGGTTTTCAAAATTTACTCAGCGACACAGCTGGCACAAATGCCTTGGAAAGACCTTGAAGCCTGGCCCTGGCCATTTTCCTGTTAAGCTTCTGGAGGGACCTTCTTCCCGCTCCGCTTCAGACTCCCTCGCATTTTCCAGTGTTTGGTGCCTTGGCTTCCGGTTGCTTCTACTCTGACTTCTGAGACTTCTCAGTGGCTGATGGATAATACTTTTAGTTATGCCTGCTTGAGGAAAAGAAATGAGTCACTCAATTAAAAATGTGCTTAAGCAGGCTACTACTTAACTGGTTTTTACCTTTTAAAATTAAGTGCCCTTCTGATAAAGTATTATTCAGACACGAGACATCAGCACTCATATCAATATTGTGTACTAGTTAGAAGTCCAGAATCACTAGCTAAATTGTACTCTTCACTTAATGATCGTGACCTTGAATGTCAGTTTAAGTTCTCTGAGGTCCTGTCTCTGAGTATGTATACCGGGAACCAAAATATTATGTACCATAAAGATTACTGTTGGAAACGGTTGAGAAGAGACAAATGTTATGCAAATATATTGTGACAGCATCTTCAAGAAACACTGAATTCTGAACGTGGTTTGGTTGGTGCTAACATTAATGATATTAATTGCTTTGGATCAACAGAGATCTGCCTAAAATAAATAGGCTATTGGGCAGTTTCCAATAACCCAGAGGCTAAATCTCTTCAGCCAAAGGACTTGCTTCTGCAGGAGACTAAAGGCTTCTATTCCACTTTAATAATAAAAAGCATGCATGATTCATTAAGTATATAGGCAAGGCTTTACGTTATATTTATTTATTTTCCAGCTTGTACAAACTGGATGTAGAAGCATAAACATAGTACATTTCTACCATCTTCAACAAAAATATAACCAATATGTACAATTATTGTATTAAAAATACAAAAGGGATACAGACTCCACCAATGTCTTTCTAAAAGACATACAGGTACAAGTAGTATCAAAAGTATGAGGAAATCACCAGTTAATTGTACATTCTGCACTTGACATCACAGAGCGAACTGAGATTAGCAGTCCTATGTTCTACAATTACTTAATGCTTAGATAACATTTGTGCAACTTGTGGTAGAGCTAGATTTCTGTCTTTCTATATGCACATGAGGTCCATAGCCTATATAATAAAACTGGCAAATAATGCATATTACATGTAAAATTACAAATGCATAATTGACAATGTAATATATAAGTAGACAAATGCCATGATACAGAAGAGAATTATTAAATAAAGCACTGACATTTTTTGATACAGTGAAAAAACACTGCAATTCCACTTTTAAAATTTGAAGCTATTTACGTTTATCTACTGATCAATATGATCAGCTGAATTTAATGGAAAAAAAATCCAAGACCAGCAGTTCCTCACATTTGAGTACTACTCAGATTGGCAGCCTTCACTTTTCCGGAGTCTGTGCAAAAACAACACAAAAATAGAGTGGAGGGGTCATTTCAGTCATTAAAGGGTTAATAGCAGCTGTGAGCAGATGGTTGCTACACTTAGGCCTTCTCTATATGCAGCGTCCATAAAGCCACTGGGAGGTTAGTCTTTGGTGACTAACCTGCCTTGCAAAGGCTGGCATATCTAACCAGGTTTTTGATCTTTTATCACATTTAAAGGCTTGTTTATTCCCTAATGCCAATTCAATAAAGGGAGGCTGTCTTGAAAGAGCAGTATAAACAGCTGGCATTAGCTCCAACATCCCAAGCTGCTTTCACTGCAATGCTATCCAGTTATAAATGTTTCTCTCAAAAAAAAAAAAAAAAAAAAGAAAAACAAAACCTAAACCTCTAAATTAACAAAAATCAAAGAAATATAACTTAAAAATGGGGTTTGCCATCCATCTCAATGGAGCAGGACACATCCGCCAATGACACCGTCCTGCCTCCATAAGGCTCAGACAAGACACAAGGGTCCTAGTTCCCTCCCCTGGCCATGTGCAAACAGTTTTACAGAAGAACCCCATCCACTGGGGAAGGAGCAGATGAGGTGTCTTGGTATTAATTGGCTAACATTTCATACTTCCAGGATAGGGCACTTCGCGGGTGAGACCAGAAGGACATGGGAAGCCAGGGTCACAAGCCAGGTTTTCCCGTCTTCTTGGTGTGGCCACACCCTGTCCGGCATATTTGGTTTTTCAGAAACCAGGCTGGCAACCCTACTTAAGGTTTAAAATAATACTGTAATCATTAAATGGATATACATTTACTCTCTGAACAAAATCTCTAAATTCATTTTTTTTTTTTTTAAAGGAGGACATTGTAAACAAGTGGACAAGCACTATACTCAAAGGATTTCATTGTTTTTCTTTGTCTTCCTTGGTGAGTTAAAGGCCCCAAGTAGTTCAATGGCTAGCTTTTCTCATTATCCCAATGAGATCAAGTGCTAGGACTGGATTGAAATCTAAAAGGAAGATTAAAAAAAATCCTTCCAGGCATTGAGAAGTGCAGCCAGAGTGAATCATCTTGTTGGGATGATCTTGGAATTTGGAATGATACTGTGTGATGTGGCAGGCAGCAACAGTGGGAGCTCGAAGATTGCTGCACTGTGCATTTCAAGCAACAAAGTCTGAAAAGTGCCAGGGCAATTTCTTCACAGTATTTCACATGCAAAGGGGAAAGGAAGAAGGGGAGAAGAAGCCCCATGCTGCTTTTAAGGCAGGGAAGGAGGCAAACTGGTCCACCATCCTCAGAATGTGAGTTCCAAGGCTCCAATGCTCGGGACATCTTCCTGTGCTCTCCCTTCAGGTGGCTCGCTCTGGATCCAGAAAAGCCTGTGCCTCAAACAGCAGAAACTTGTTCATCTTCTGCAAATACAGCAGGGAAGAAAAAGAAATAAATGAGCAAGCAAGTAATTTCTTGTGCTATAGAGAATATATTCACTGATGTGCTAAATAAAAATATCATATTCGGCCGGGCGCGGTGGCTCACGCCTGTAATCCCTGCACTTTGGGAGGCCGAGGCGGGCGGATCACGAGGTCAGGAGATCGAGACCATCCTGGCTAACACGGTGAAACCCTGTCTCTACTAAAATACAAAAAATTAGCCGGACGCGGTGGCGGGCGCCTGTAGTCCCAGCTACTCGGGAGGCTGAGGCAGGAGAATGGCGCGAACCCGGGAGGCGGAACTTGCAGTGAGCCGAGATGGCGCCACTGCACTCCAGCCTGGGCGACAGAGTGAAGACTCCGCCTCAAAAAAAAAAAAAAAAAAAAAAAAATCATATTCTTTTTAGTAGAGCTCACTTAGAATCCTTGTCTTTTCTCCTAAGCAATGATGAACAACAATAAAAAGGTTAAAATGTATGCAATACATATCTTTACATATATACACACACACAACATTAAAAAGATATGCATTATATATTTTTGTTCAGAAAGTAAATAAATTCATTTTAAAAAGTTGTAAAACAGCATGTGTCATTTAAAAAAAATAATATAAGATCAGATACACACAAAAAGTCTAGGATATGTAACCACATTTTAATAATGGCTGTCTGCAAGTGGCAGGATTTTAAGTAATTTTCATTTGTAATGTTTTTCTATTTATTTAATTTTTTTGAGACAGGGTGTGGGTTTGCCATCCACAGTGCAGTGTTCTTGGCTCACTGCAACCTCCGCCTCCCGGGCTCAAGTGATTCTCCCGCCTCAGCCTCCCAATCTCCCGGTCATGTGTTGCTTTTATCTATGATTGTGTAATCAAACATGTTAAACTGAAAACTTTAAAGAGGATGGGAGGACATAATCTCCTTCCTCATTCTCAATTCAGCATGGTCAGATAGGTTTGTAGAAAGAATGCACAAAGAGTTACAGACAATGTGGGTTCCTTCGTTCCCTCCCTTTCTCCCTCCCCTTCTCTCTTTTAGAGACAGGGTCTTGCTCTGCTACCTAGGCTACGGTTCAGTGGCACAATCGTGGGTCACTGCAGTCCTGAACTCCGAGGCTCAAGTGATCCTTCCACTTCAGCCTCCATAGTAGCTAGGACTATGGGCACATGCCACCACACCTGGGTCATTTGAAAAATATTTTTATGGAGACAGGTCTCACTTGTTGCCCAGGCTTGTCTCAAACTCCTGGCCTCAAGCAATCCTCCCACCTCAGCCTCCCAAAGCGCTGGGATTACAGGCATGAGCCACCGGGCTGGCTGATAGTGTATCTTTCTTTATCAGACTTTCATTTCCAAATGAGTCCCAATTCATTAAAAGTGCAAATATAAAGTTTCCACAGAAAACTTTAACCATCCACCTTTGAGAGTCCTAGATGCTTCTAAAATTCTTGACAACAGCACAAACTTGTGAGATTTTTATTTTCTTTTTCTTTTTTTGAGACAGAGTCTCCCTCTGTCGCCCAGGCTGGAGTGCAGTGACATGTTGTTGGCTCGCTGCAACCTCTGCCTCCCGGGCTCAAGTGATTCTCCTGCCTCAGCCTCCCGAATAGCTGGGATTACAGGTGCCTGCCACCACACCTGGCTAATTTTTGTATTTTCAGTAGAAACAGGGTTTCACTATTTTGGCCAGGCTAGTCTCAAATTCCTGAGCTCAAGTGATCTGCCTGCCTCGGCCTCCCAAAGTGCTGGGATTATAGGTGTAAGCCATCGCACCTGCCTTATTCTTTTTCTCAAAATAGGGTCACAGAAGTACTTCAATTTTAGTGAGAATTAGAAAAGAAATCAAGTCATATAAACACTATATTTTAAGTGACTCCCTCCATAATCTTTGGCATTTTTGAAGCCATTTAGGGAAACACACAGACACACAGAAAGCCGTCAAATTTTAGTGAGAATTAGAAAAGAAATCCAGTTATATACACACTGTATTTTAAGTGACTCCCTCCATAATCTTTGGCATTTTTAAAGCCATTTAGGGACACACACACACACACACACACACACACACACACACACACACACAGAGCAGTCAACAGCCGTAACCCTAAATTTGGAACTCTGAATATAGTGTTCTTTGTGTGGTGTATGGTTAGACATAGCTGACTGCAGTGTTAAGAAAACAGAAATGCCTTGGGAAGTAGCATAAGTGAACACATCTAACTTGGAGGTTTTAGGAATATTTATGTGTATATACCATCCTCCTCGGTGGAAAACCCTTGGGACTGATAGGGGGCGAGGCGCGGGTCGGACTCGTTCGGCTTATGCCACTGAGGTTTGTTCACAGGCCTGCTGCTGGTGGGATGCCCATGTGGCTGCTGTACAGATGAAGGCCCAGCTGTGTCGGAGGATCGCGCGACCATCCGCGATCTCTGAAGGGCCACGTTGTAGTCCGGAGGTTTCCTGGCTGGATGGGAGTGCCCTTCTGGAAAGTCAGTAATGGGAATTCCAATGTAGCCGGGAGGGGTGGGCGGGGGCTCTCGATACCTGCCCTCCTTTCGTGCTAGAGTAGAAACAATGCACCAGCATTAAAAAGTAGTTCATGCCACAAAAGTTTAATTAAAAATATAAAAATAATTATTAAAACAGCATCCACAGTGTAGCAGCAAATGTGAATTTGTGTGGTATGGGTCAGAGGTGCGGTGTGAGGCAGGCCAGGGAATGCATGTTAATTAAACCAAATTTCACAATGGTTATCACTGTGTGGTGAAACAGTTGGTGAGAAAAGCTGCTAGTGCATCTAAGTACTTTCATCTTTAAATGGGCTGCTTGTCTGTTTAAAACAGTTTGTAACTATAAAATAGTAGCAAGATTAAAACCTAACCCCTGGACTTATTGGAAAGACTGAAGCACAGGAAGAACCTAAGTACACAGCACTATGCCTGGAACCTGTTTGCGCTTGGTACAAGTTTCCTTTTTCCTCTCTGCCTGCCGGATCTGCCCTTTTTCTGGGCATTTATCTTTACCAGGCAGAGAAGCAATTCCACATCACTCTTGGGTCTTAGGACTTCACTTACGGAAACAGTGAATTAAAATAAATTTGGAAAAGTCACACAAAGGATACCAATTTAAAAACTCTAAAACTATTACTATAAGGTGTCAATTTTTCTTAAAATCCCTTTATTGATGCTCATGACCTAGAATATGAAACCTACTGTATAGGCAAGTAAAACTAAAGTTTTATTTTCTTGAACTTTTTAAACTCAACTGTTAGGAACTAAAAATCATTCTTCCTTCCTTTGCAATACAAATTCCGAGTATTAGTTGTAAGCACTTGAAAAAGTCCAACCTAAGAATATTTACTGTTTTCTCCTTATTCATTGTAAAAGGATATTAAACTTGAAATCTACCCATGACTATTTACATGGCTAAATAACTACAATTTTCCTACTAATAAAAGTAATGTCTGTAATGATTATACTCCAGAATTTCTCACTCTACAACCAATAATCTGTTTCTACACTTCATCTATATAGATGTTAATTGTGCCATAGAAAATACATCTCAACAGGGCTGAGGGAGCATGACAGCCTCTTCTAACAGAAACAGCAGCACCAATAGCTTTCATGTACTTAATGAATCTACTATCTGGGCACTGTTCTAAATACTTTGCATAAATTTCCTTGAATCCTCCCACTAACTCTATTAAGTAGAAATTATTAAGCTCGTTTTACAGATGAGGAAACAGGCACTGCTTTGTATTTTCCCCAATGTCACAAAACTAATAAAGTGGCAAAACAAGGATTCAATCCCCAGTCCGCCTGACTCCAAAGCCCGTGCTCTTAGTCACTGTACTATTAGCACCTCTCCCTCCTTCTGCATTGTGCACAAATAATTGCTTATCAAGAATCGATGTGTGTGCAGAATAAAAATCAATGGGAGACTTTTAAATATACAAAGTGTATAGTTCTAAACACAATCAAGGGAACAAAATAGAAGAATAAAAGATATAAAAGAGTTTCAATTAAAGAAAAATTTCTCCTCTATGAATAATAGGAATCTATCCTGATTTTTAGGTTAAGGGAAAAAAATTAGACTAGATCATATCCACAATGACAATCTACTGATCCTAATAGCTAAGATTTACTGAATGTTTTGTTATGTAGGAATATATCTGTATGTACCTGACCACAAAACCTGAGCTCTTAACCACTATTGATTTCAAAGACCTTAACACACCACCACTTTGGAAGTACAATGGAGAAAATGAGGAAAAGAACCAACAAACACATAATTTTACTATTGTAATAAGTTACATTAAAGACATGATCCAGACATGACAAAGTCCCCCAATTTTAAAACTTACCAATGAGCCCCTTTGTAGTACTTGATGCCACAGCTATGTGGGCAGGCATGGGGACTGACTTGGTTTCTTCTGTGGTCACAGATGTTATGCTACTGCTTTCGGCTTCAATGGAAACGTCCTTTCCACCCCTCCGCTTTATTGTGCCTGTGTCACCTTCTGAGTCTTCTCCCCAGTAACCTGTGGAAGACGCCCAGCTTGCTCGGGACTGGGCTTGTTCAAGGCTCTCTCTACTTTGATTTTGCCGGTTATACTTTGTGCTATGATCAGAAAACATGATTTGGTCCATATGGCTGCTTGATGCCCATAAACCTGCAGGATCCCCTGAATAATCAAAGTGAGTGTGCCCAAATGGAAGAGTCTCCCAGCTTCTCTGGTGCTGGATTGTCTGTATATTATCATGGGAGCCACTTGAGCATGACGTCCAGCTCCCACGGCCACTGTCAGCAGCATCAAGTGACGCACGATCCCCCTGATCCTGGGAAAGTTCCTCTGTGCTTGGAGAAGAAATCACTGTAGCTGTAGCATATAAGCCTCGACCCTCGGACATTGGTGCATAGGACCTAAGTGGTTAAAAGAAATGGAAAAGAAAAAAAAAACAAACCAAGATTGATAACTAATTCAACTATGATAAAACCAAAACACCCTTTTTCCTAGAAAGGTAGCTTGCTTTTATCCCAGAAACAGGATAAAAGTAGCACTGAATTGCCTTATAGTGGCCAGTTCTGCCACGTCTAGCCTTCTGAGTTTGTCATTACTATAAAACAGGCATGGGGGAAAAGAATGCAACGTGACATTAAAAAAAAAAAAAAAAAAAATTTCCGACAACAATAAGGATGGCTCAATATAATTTGATTATTTCAGGATGGATCCTACAGTCACCCTCTGCCTTTAAAACAGAACAATTGTGTTCCACTGAAGAAAAAAACTTAACTAAAAAAGCAGTCTGCTTAACAAAAATAACATGATACTTAGTGTAGAAATTGTGAAAAATCAGAACTGGGATGGGAGAAAAATTCTTAGGCATTATGTAAAATAAATAAAAATAAACATCTGGGAGAAAAGACTCATTACCAAAAGAGAGATGGAAGGATAAATTCAAAAGAACACTAAGAAAAGCCACCTACCCCAAGCTATATTGATCAGGTTCCATCATGGTCCGCCTCTCCATCCTGCCCACCCCTAGGTTTGTTTCCACGATGCTGACAGAATGCCTCTGGCGCCTCTCATCGTGCAGTGAGACTGGCACTGAGTCAAAAGACGAATTGCTGACAATACTGGATCGTGAAGAAATTTCACTGTGACCAGAATCTGAAAAATTATCCACAGTACCACTGGGAGCCAAAGTATAGCCTGCATGAGAAACACGACCATATTAATTAGACTCTCTAGGTTCATAACACCAAAGGGAAGTATACCAAATAGAAGCAAAAATAAAATGCAGGCATAGATATCTCTATAGAACTGGGGAGAAAAACTCCGTTTCACTTGTAGATACCACATGACTAAGAGACAAATGTTTTATTCTAATGAAGCTTAAGTTGTTTAATTAAAGTTTAGAGAGGAAAAAAGAAAGTATCCTACAAGCTAGGAAAACATGCAGAAAAGGCACCACTCGACTATTCTTAGCTCCCTTACCTATATCATTACACTATTAGTCTATAGAAAAGAAATCACGAAGAAAACGGATCAGATTTTAAAGTATGTTTTTTTCAAAATGCAAAGCCACTGATCTTGTTTTCAACAGTTTTCAATTTTTAGAACTTGTATGGCATAGAATAATTCAACTGGAAATATCTGTATCCTACTTACAATTTTAAGTAAACATATAAACAAAAATAAGAAATAAGACCTGAAGATGTCTTTGAATTTTTGCCATTTGGTTTTTCAATATTAATATTGGTTGAATCACATAAAAGCCAATTGTTTTGAAGGAGTTAATGGGCACTTTTCACAAGATCGTTACTACAGAATAGCTAAACAGATGTCCACTTCTTGGCCTGAAAGTACCCGTAACTCTCTTTTGTTACTAAAAATAATTTTGAAAGTCACAACGGAAGGGGCCTATCTTGATTTTTTTTTTTTTTTTTAGACGGAGTCTCCCTCTGTTACCCAGGCTGGAGTGCAGTGGCGGATCTCGGCTCACTGAAAACTCCACCTCCTGGCTTCAAGCGATTCTCCTGCCTCAGCCTCCAGTGTAGCTGGGATTACAGGCGGGTGCCACCATGCCCGGCAAATTTTTTTTTTTTTTTTGTATTTTTACTAGAGACAGGGGTTTCACCATGTGGGTCAAGCTAGTCTCGAACTCCTGGCCTCAGGTGATCAGCCTGTCTCGGCCTCCCAAAGTGCTGGGATTACAGGTGTGAGCCACTGTGCCCGGCCCTATCTTGATGTTTTTAATGAAAAAAATCCAAATCTTCTTTCTCAATATTCATTGTTTTTCTTGTCTACATTACTAGGGATCTCATGTTACTTAAGTATTTATTTTATATTATATGCAATGCAAATTTCTTCAATGCCACTTACCTAAGAAAAACTAAAATCTAGAGCATCTACATGTTGCCAGTTTAAGTATGTTCTTTCAGTATATTGGTAATTCCTGATTTATTTTTTAAAGGCTGCACAGGTCTTGATAAGATTTAATGTGTTCATTTATAAAACGTCTTTTTATAAAACCACAGTGCAAGATCTGACAGATAAGATTTAAAGCCTTCCCTGAACAGTCTGCTAAAAAAAAAAAATCTTCAGAAAAGTAAATCACTCAGATGGAGCACTTGACATTTGGAGGAATTCTCCCATTTTCATTAACTAATGAGATGATTCCTCTCTTTCCCACCCCGTTTTTGGTTCTATAAACCCCACCTATCCCATAGGTCCGTGGTGCATTGTTATTCTTGTTACTGTTCTCACTTCCAAGAGAAGAGGAGGAACTGGTTAAGTCCAACTGCCCGGAGCCAAAAGATCTCAGCTGATTGCCACTGCCACCTAACAACAGGATGAGAAAAGAATTGAGATGCATCCATGTAACAAGGACAGGAGAGACTGATACCCATACAAAATGCACAGATGTCTGAAATATCCACCAAGTAAAGCAATACCTGTTGTGTCAGTGAAATTTAACAATGTATTAAGCCCTTTTGGCCTTCCTTTAGGGAAAATTCAGTCCTAGCCATTTATTATTGGCTTACACTCATTCAGTTAAAAGGGTAGGAGGAGGAAGAAGCCTTAAGAGTTATGCAGCAGAAAATTACCTACTCTTTTAATATGAGAAGGTATCAACATAAGGAGGTGTCTCTGAGTACCTAAAATATAGTCTCTTTAAAAATAAAACAAGGTAGCAACCAAAAAGGTAATCAAGACCTGTGTTAATACAATGAAAAAATAAATCAGGAAGATATTAGTTTTTCATGTTTTCAAAGCCCTCTTCTCCGTATTAATATCATAGAACCAAATTTAGTTAGAACAAATTTTAATATAAAAAATTCTTTGTATATTTATCATGAATAAAAATTAAATGTATTTTTAAAAGGCTTCTTATAGTTATAAATTTAATACTATTTATTGTAAGTATAACATTTTTAAAAACCGCCATTCTTCCAAATTTATGAACTGAGGGAAAAAAATCCATTGGGCAATTACATATGAGCTCATCTTAAATGACGATAACGTTAAGAATTATGTAATATATAACTCTGGAATTTCCCATAGCCAAAATGTACAGGTTTCAATACAAGAAAACAAAAAGTAATTTAATTCTACCTTTCCTTGGAGAACTCTGTGGAGAAGTAGGAGGAGAAGAAAGCTGCGAAGACGCATTTGATATTGTGTCTTCAGCTTGCTTCTTGTGACGTTCCAAACTTCCTTCTTCAGACAAAGAAAGAATTTTCTTTAAAGCTTGTGGAGAGTTTATGCCTATAATAGAAAAAAAAAACCCCTTACATATGTATTTTCAAGTCTGAAAATAAACACCATTTATGACTGAAAAACTCTTTTGTGCTAAGATTTAATATCATTACATTGAGGTTCAACCTATTTACAATGTAAATGTTCTTTGTATTCTTCATGGTCCACAGAGTAAGTGCCTACAGAAGGCATGACATACCTGTAGTTTGGTTTCAGGCTGATATCTGCCGAGTACCAGAAATAGTTTGCTTTTGATATTTTACATCAGATTCTAAACTTTGAAGTAGTCACCATCTTTATTCAACAATATATTAGTAAACAATGAAGAAAAAATGGACAATTTGGACACACTGAATTTAGGATGGAAGTGGCACAGCTAGATATGTTTATTATTAGAAACCAAATTTGAGTTGGAAGCTGTTTTGTATCCTTGGAAAGGGGTAGCTCAAGGGAAGTGAGAATAAAGGGAGAAGAGTACAGAGGCAAGAGCTAAGAGGAGCTGACCAGGAAAGTGAATGAAGGTGCTCTAAGGAATTCCATGCAGTTAATACTTGATCAAGTAAACAGATGAAAGAGAAGGGCGGAAGAGACCATGAAAGTGCTGTGTCACAAAACCTTGGAAGGTGGTTTCAGAAGAAGGAAGTGAGCCAGCACCATGTGTAGGATCCAACAGGATGAGAGTGGAGGAAAAATTATTCTATATGTCAATGTAAGATGATTTCCCTCCTCAAAATTATTTTTCATAAATGAGGAAGTTACAGTAAAATATTTTTAATAGGCACTCTCAATTTTATTTTGAACAACAAAGAGATATTTGGGAAGGCACTACAGCCTGAAACCGCCTCAGATTAGTGTTAGTAAAATTTAACAAAGATTTAATCCTTCATTTCACTTCATGTAAGCAGTCTGATGTTGTTTTAATACAATCTTTTTTTAAAAAAAACCTTTTAAAGCAATACTTTGATTACATGTAGAAATCATATACACAGGAAATAAAGCTAATTGAATGGGTAGTTTTGATGTGGAAAAAATTTCCAAGGCCAGCATCACACACAGATTCAAAAAGTACTATCTTTCAAACCATGTGGATGGATGTGAAGATGTTATGCCTGAGAAAGCTGTGTTAGATACTTCAAAAGTGGTCCCAGTGATGGACAAAGACACCGATGTTAAAGATGTAGAAAGTATATAGAACAAAACTCTTTCATGAACTGGAGTGGGGGAAACACCTGCAGCATCTCTAAATTAGTATTTTATATACTGTGACTTTAAATGTGTATGTTAAACTAAATAAATATAAGACAACAAATGATATTTCATCCACATTTCTAAAGTTCGTAAATGGAACTAAAGACATTTTGAGAGCTATGGCTTCAGAAACATGGGAGATAGAGCTTTATACTCAGACACATCTACATTATATTAAATATGGCTAATAAGCTGTTTTTAGCTAAAGTGAAGACTGATATTCTTCCATATGAGAAGTTCTGCATAAAGAGGATACAGAAGTCAGACTGCAGGGGATTCAGGAATGCATGCATATTAAAAACAATATATAAAGAAACACATAATTCAATGTGTTTGTGATGAGGGGATCAACACAAATATTTGAAAGGAGAAACGTATCAAGGAAAGGTGTTCTTTTCTTACTCTCCCCCCCAATATCAATAAAGAGGACATTTGCTGATCAGATGGTCGAGGTGAGGACAGAGAACATGTGAGAGGTCTATGAAATAAATGACTCTCACCCCAGCCATACAGATGGGCTGTAACTGTGCAGGGACGTAGCTATCAACACCCAATGTTATCTAAGTAAACTCTTTCCCTTCTATCTATCTATTGATCGATCGATTGACAGAGTCTTGCTCTGTCGCCCAGGTTGGAGTGCAATGATGCAATCTCGGCTCACTACAATTTCCACCCCCCAGGTTCAAGCAATTCTTGTGCCTTAGCTTCCCAGGTAGCTAGGACTGCAGGCATGCACCATCATGCCCAGCTACGTTTTGTATTTTTCGTAAAGACGGGGTTTTGCCACGTTGGGCAAGTTGGTCTCTAACTCCTGGCCTCAAGTGATCCACCTGCCTCAGCCTCCTGAAGTGCTGGGATTACAGGCGTGAGCTACCGCGCCCACCCTACTATCCCTTTATTTTTAATAATTTATTTTTTATCAATTATTTCATTCACATATACGTAGAAAAAAACAAGCTGTGCATTTTATGAAAACTTATTGTGTTGTACCACTTCCACAAAGGGGCTAAACTACTAGATGTTTTTCTTTTCGTAGGAAAGATGAAGTGTAATTTAACTCCTCCATACTCAGGAGTTAGTTGCTTTATTTTTCCCCCTAAGCTATAGAATCAGTGAGTCAACAAATAAGAATTTACCTTCAGACAATTCATTTAACTTAAAAATATTCTGCTTAAATCCCAGCAGTTCGTTGGTTGTAAGGCAAAACCAGTTTAAATAATGTAAATGAACAAAGCATCTTCTGCACTCAGCAAAAATTAAATGGACACATAACTCTCTATTAACACCCTGTCGTAGCAAATTAGCGTGATTAAATGAGATATTACTTATAAAAACAACCCCTTCCATTGGCAAAGTCAGGTTTAACTTGCTCAATGTTCAGGTTTTATTAGGAGCTAATAATTAACATAGAAACTCAAATATATTAGACAAAGTTATCCAAGACAAATATTTTTTTCCTAATTTGCAAACCATGAGAGTGAATGGCACCAAAAAAAGAAATGAATGTAATCACTTACCAAAAGGTGGGAGATCCTTTACGGGCACTTTCTTCCGTGAAGGATAAAGGGACACGGCGGGAACCTGCAGTCCCTGGTTGATTTTATGTGCTGGTGGTGGCTGCTGCTGGGGCTGTGGCAGGGACTGAGCTTTCTGCTGTGACCCTGCCCTTGGAGCTACCGGAGAGGTCTCGGATTTGACAGGCTTTTTGTCACCAGGATTCTTAGGCACTGGTAATTGTTTGGGTTTGAAAATAGAACAAAGAATTTTAGATGCTAGTAGCTATGTAGAAGATAATTTTAGAACTGTGTGAGCATTTTCTGCAGTTAGAATACTAAAAGGCACACCTTTCGTCCTGCTGCCTTTATGAAGCACAGAAATGGATATGGGGGACCCTAGTTACAGAAAATATTAGGTATGTGGCAGGACAAAGGTATCTACTTTATGAAGTCAGCAATCTCAAAAGATGATTATACTATTAAACACCCCATTACAAATATAGAAAAATGTGGGTAGTTCAATATGTTATATCCATGTATATGAAAGACACAAATACATGATAAAAACTACAACAGACAAGTCATCAGACACTATTTTTCTAAAATGGTGTTCCAAATTGGTTGACAAGTATATGCACTAAGTTTTTATTTAATAAATGCTGCCAACTGCAATCTATTTACTACCACATTCCTAGGAGGTAGAATTATCTATGCAAGCAAACAGTAGCCAAAAATGCTTGAGTATTATACTGAGTATATATTTTGTGGTAGATAAATGGCAAAGCAATTTAGGACAATTAAATATTGTGCATGTAGTATCTTAATATGCAAAACTCAATGACATATGTATGCTTCCTCCCTTATACACACCTGGAAGCTAAGGATTAGGGAGGTCAAGTAACTTGCCTAAGGCTGCATTGCTAGTAAGAGGAGGCAAACAGGATTTGAACTCAGACCACTCTGACTCCAGAGGACAAGCTCTTCACCATGACACAGTGCTTCTACAGTGTCCTGGGTAAATCTAATAATCCAAATCTTCTCAAATCACCTATCTAAACTAAATCCTATAGCAGACATCTTCAAATCTGCACATAAAAGACACAGGAGTGTATTGAATGGAAAATGCCTTTGTCAAGATGCAGATTTAGCAAAAAAAAACTGCCCCATTTATAGACTAACCCGATTTTTAATGGCTATTGTAGTTCATTGTGGAGCAGAATTATTGCTCTAACTGGTAGGTGAATTTCTTGTTGGGTGTTGTCTGGGCTAGTGGTTAAAAGGCAGCCAGCACACTCAACTTTATGCCCCGACTCCCCTCAGGGTGCCCATAATTTGGGGGCACCTTTCTGAGAACACAAGACACATAATTGGGAGCCATATCTACATATGCGCCCCTTGCATGTGTACTGGCTGTGTCCAGGTGAAACTAAAGCAACGGGTTGCCCTAGATGTGGACAGTGTCATCCTCCACACACTAACCCAGCTGACCTGAGGGCCTGGCCGCGCACAGTGCTATCCAGTATTCAATATTAGCATTCAAGGGAAGGACTAGTATATCTCATGATTGCCAGCTCCCCCTCTGCACTAAGCCTTATTTTGTCACTGCCCATATCACTGTACAGGAAACAAATCTGCATTCTAGCCAAAGTCGGCAGCCACTTTAAGGAAAAACTCACATGTGTTGGTTGCTGGCTCACACTGCAGAGATAATGTCTGAAGACTCTCCTCGTCCATTTCTAGCTCCAAATTGGAAAGGTACTGCTTCACTTTTCGAGCCATTTGGGCATCTTCATAAAGCTTTTTGGCATTGAGAAAGGAACTACGACGTACCCGCTTTTTATGACCACCTGTCTGAGCAACATCTAGCACTGTTGCGTTTGTACTACCCTGGCTGAGAGACCTGGAAGATGAAAAGGTAGATATGCAGCTCACTCTAGCATGGGAGTACTTTATCTATTTAAAACGTGCCAAGACTGATATTAATATTCTATGTTCAAAAGGTCACATGCTTCATTCCAGTGAGTAAACTGTTACACAGGAATATAGAATAATATAGATTAAAAAAATTTAGTTAAAAGAAAATTATACATAATATAAATATAAAAATATATGTTTGGCACCTGTTCAGTTCGAACTAGGAAATTCTACTTTTCACCTCTATAGAGCATTTAAGGCAGTTCTCTCACAGATGCCAGAAAATAATAATTACATATAAAAGCTCATGCAAGAATACACAGCTATAATCATTAAGATTTGCAACATTAAGATTACTTCCCCTAAAGAGGATATTATATATATATTTAAATAAAATTAACTACAATGTTCACAATTGTCTTCTTATTCCTTGAGTTGATGTAGTGAGTTTTTAAAGTAATACGGTCAATCTGTTAATAAAACAATCATGCAAATGTAAACATGTATGTATGGAAACTATTGAGCACATGAATTGTTAAGAATTATTTTTAAAAAGGATTGGTTTATACAGAATGAAAATAGTAGTTAGTTGAGCTGTAAAAAATTTGGGTTTAACACCTGGGGGCACCTATTTTATATTAAAAATATTTATTTCTCACATATCTGTGAAATATTTTAATTGTACAATTTTTCCTTCTAATATCCTTCCTCCCCTCCCCCTACTTTGAGCTTTCCGCATTTCAAGACACACCAATTATATTAAAATAAAATCTTTCTAAGAGTTCAGAAAAACTGGCCTATAGTTCCCCAGAACAGTCATCAATCATTTCACAGCTCTCATGGATCATGACTTCAAAAGCAAAAGCCCCAACAGATTAAACTTGAAGTCAGTTTGCCGTCTGAAATTCTGCTACAGCAAGAGGGTTAAGGAAAAAAATGCAAAAATGCAAAGCATCAGAAAATACAGCAGGTAAGAAAACAATACAATGAGCAGAATAAGGACTGTGTGTGGGTATGCAAGGTCTCCACCACTTACCCCAAACTCCGCCATTTCTTCTTCCTGTAAGTGAGAGCCATGGAGATTGAAGCATGGGTGTAGAAAGAGAGACAGAAAGATCACAAGCTCAGAAAGAAAGGACTAGACTTCTGGATAAGCAGTTCTAGAAGCCCACAAACATTAAACTGCATAATCACCTCACACACGCAACTTTACTAGAAATATTTTTCTAGCTTAAAAGACAAATATATTTAAATTTTTTGTTCTAGAATTAAGACCGACTTTTCTCTCTTTCACTGAATTAATCACTTTTTACTACACTGCTAGCTAAATCTGTTGTGTGGATATTAAGACAAGACTATTTCGGGTATTTACATATTTTAGTTCATACTACTAGTTATGAGTTTTAGCTCTACAAGTCAGTGTTCTGAGAAATAAGAAATACATAATTGTGACTATTACACTGAAAATATCTGAAGGACAAACTGTTTTTACTGACAGCCAAAAGAACACTTTATAAGGAATAAGACATTTATTCCAAATTAGAGCTCACAGGTGATTCTCAGCACATCCTACTATAATTTCTGCCGTAGGACAAATGTAAATACTCAAACTTTTAAAAAATCATTTATTGGGAAGCTCTAAATTTAACCTTCTCTACTCTCACACGTGGCACTGAAGATGACATACTCACCGAGTCCTGAACATGAGGGCTGGGTCCATGTTCACTGAAGCCATTCGGCCAACGTGACGAATTTCTTTTGCGATCATCCTTAACTTCTCAAAATTGACCAGCCCGTCTACTTTTGAGTCATTTCCTGAAATTGACAGAGAAGAAAAAGGAAATCACATGGCATTTATTCTGTGCTTCTCCAAGCAAAGATGGAAACCCTCTGCCTTATGTTTACCTTCGTGAAGGAAGGTGAGATCCTTCTTGATAACTGGAAACAGAGGGATTATGGGTGGTTGTAGGTTTTGACTATTGAGAACATTGCGATATTTCGCCATGTTTCTGGAAGGATCAAACAGGTCTTGGAGATCTTGAAATAGTTTTTCGTATTTATTGGGAAGTTTCTCCCAGGTTGTTCGCAGTCTTGCCACTGGTGCCAGGTTTAGGCCACTGAGAGGAGAAAAAGAAATGTGATATAACAACTAAAGTAAAATAGTGTACAGATTATTTATTGACACATAACACCTCCTTGTTTATGCTTTATATGCAAAACAATTTACAGAAGGCTGCATAAGAAACTGTTGATGATAATTCTGGGGAATGAGATGGCACAGGGAAGTAGGGTCAGGGTCAAGCCAAGGCGTTTTACTCTCCTCTTCCCTATAGACCCTCCTCATCTGTTTACTATCAGCAAAACCACCTGAATATAAGTATTGATGCTTTGTATCCATACATAGCAGTATGTATACATACCAGTGCTTAGCCCATAGCGGCCTTTTGATAAAACCGACTGAGCAAATATCCTCTAGTAATAAAATAAGCTATGATAGTAATGAGAGTATGACTAAACTCCCAGACAGAGAAAATGACTCATTTAATAATCACCCTCAATAGCAACATAACTAATTGTTGCCATTTTTTTTTTCTTCTAACCTCAATCTAAGCTCTTAAAAAAAGGGAAGAAAATTAACATTTCCTGGCCAACTGCTTTGTGCTATTTGATGGAACTCCGCATACATGATATCATTAATCTTGTTGATAACTCTTTGGGGTATTGTTATTTCCACAGAAAAGTAAACTGATATTGAGAAAAGTTGAAACAAACTTAAAAAAAAAAAAAGTGGGGGATATAGATTTTCGGAGCTCCAAATCAGAACTTCAGATGCTACCAAAATGTTTCCTGCCTAATGGCTTCTTCGAATCTCTTCAGGTTGGCACAGCTGGTTTTGTTGGTACGAGAGATTTTCAATTAAGGTTAGGATTCAGAGAAAAAGAATTGTCCCTTATGAGTCAATTAAAATCTACTGCATTTATACTAATTATACGATGTTCCTGGACTGATACATATTTTAAATCTGTGAACTGAACTGAATCTTAAGAAAAATGTGTTCTCTTACCTAATGATTGCAAACATTGAGTTAAAATTCTTGCATTCCCTACAGTGCAGTGCTATCTTGATGAAATGCTTAATGATCTTCATCCTCTTCAGCTGGTTTGTTTCTCTGAGAATTTCAGACGCTACCCAAAATGTTTCCTGGTTAATGACTTCTTCAAATCTCTTCAGGTTGGCACAGCTGGTTTTTGATCTGAGTTTAAATAAATCATCTATATATTCAGTAGGTTCAATGTTGCGAAAGAGTTCAAAATTTCGCATGGAGAGCTGTGTGGCAACTTCCACAGTGCTGAGCTGAAGGAGGGAAATTTGACTCTCTCTCAACAACTCCTGAGCATCTTCATCAGAACAAAGAGTTTCTGTTTCCATGTTGTTTTTCAGATAATACCTGTGAAAAACAGAAACATACCAGAGTCAAAGCCTATGCAGCAATCTCACGATATTCCTTGAAAGAATGCTACTTTTTACGGAAAGTTTGAGAGAACACCGATTTGAATGATGGAAGATTTCTTTTCAACCAAGACAGAGCGCAGCTGCTGTCTCAGGTACCAGGTCACAGAACTGCCTATCCAGAAGTAGGTGGTAGAAACAAACAAATCACATGGAATTTCACTTTTACTAGCTGGACTTTCTTTCTCTCCTTTCTTTTCCTGCTTTTGGAAGTATTTTACCCTTTTTGCTAAAAATAACAGAAAATAGCCACATTTTTAGTTTAAAAAGGAACTAGATCCTAAGGCAGGAAGCAGGAAAGATCAGACACAAGTAGGTCATCATTCTTATTTTCCCAATAATCTGTGATTATTGATGGGCCCAAATTGTAACAATCCAGGTTTACTTATTGATTCAAATACCTAAGAAACCCTAAGCTACTTGCCTCTATTTGATCCTATGAACAGAACAATCCTACAATAGGTTAACTTTAAAAAATCTGGATTTTCATAAAAACTCTGCAGGTAAGTGGATGGCAGGTATTATACTTATTTGTCAGAATAGGAAACAGGCTCCTAAAGTTTGACTAGTTAATGTCAGTGCAAAAATGAGAACACAGGGCTGGAGCTCCTTCTCCTTTTAGGTAATTTGTTGAAAATAGCATTAAGATGTTTGTTGTGTGTGTGTGTGTGTGTGTGTGTGTGTGTGTGTCTGTGGTATGGTGGTGGTGGTATTTTTTTGTTTTGTTTTTCTTTTTTAGACATATGCTTTCTCTGTGAAATTCCGTAAACGAAAAAACAGAATGAGCACAGTAGGGGCCCCGCTAAAATGTTTTTTTGTATATTTCACCAAGACAAACACATATGACAAAAAATATATACTTTGCACCCTTGATTTTCACAGATTTAACATTCTCCATTTTGATTACTCATGAAGCCCATGACATACCCATCTATAATTTTCTTCAATAATGAATGTGAATCATGAATTTATAGCTCAGTGGAGCTCTGTAAAACTCTATCGTGGTTCCAGATATATCAATGTGCATTGAAATGATAACTGGAAAAAACAGAGCGACTAAAACAAAACTACTTGCTAGTGTTTGAAAACAAAAGTGAAGAGGCATAAGAAAGTTACAGTTGATGGCAAGAAAATCAAAGTTTTGAATGAATTATATACTGGTTTAAACCTATAACATGGAAAAGTCAAATACAGTGAAACACTCCATAAGTTAAAAATAGAAGGAATATGATTTATGGAACTGCTTAATTTTCAGTGTAGAAACCAGCCATTATGAGAACCAAAACAACTATTTTCTTTTTCAACTTGCACTTATTGTGACTTGAAGATAAAGCTACCTACACCTAACAATGAAAATATCATTGAAGAGAATAGTAAAATCAGATACGACATTTTCTTGCAAGTAACATGTGTGAGATAGCACTTCTGCAGCAAAGGACTAAGCTCTGTAGCAAGTAAAATTTGGTTTCAGAGTTGAGAAGTGTATTTCACAGCACAATGTACAATAACAGGCAGTAGTGGCCAACCACACTGTCATAGATGTCTCTGCCTAAACTAAGGAAGCTCCTAGAAAAGTTGGGTGTGCAGGAGCAAATAACACTAGAATATGATTAGAAAATGTGCCCGTGAATGTACCTATCCGAAGGGAAGACAGCACCCGCATTTAACTCTGTGACTTTATGTCAAGCATACTCTCGCCTTCCAAACCAGGACCCTAAGGTAAGCATGAGAAGTTACAGCACGCACTGTGGCAGTCAGTAACAACCTTCAGGTCACAGTGCCCTTGAACAAGTTCCTAAGAGATCCTTGTTAGGGTCAGTAGTCGACTGTGTGCATTTGCTTTCATACAGTAATTCTTGGTGAAAGGGAAAAAAAACAAAACAACTACTTTTTAATCTGCAGGGACACTTACTCATTTAAAAAACACTTTGAAAACTGTTCATCTCTTAGACTTTGATGTGGGTTTGAAGAGGGGATAAAGAAATCCAGTAAGGTAGACAATATATACCTTCCACTCAACTGTATTCTGTCAGCAAGTTTGGAAAGCTGATCTGGAAGCCTTCTTTGTTTGATTACTCCCTCAGGTGTGACAGAGACCTCACATAGTGAATATTGATCCGGGGTGGCAGTAACAGCAAACTCCCTGATAGCCTGAATAACCACTTCCTTTGCCGTAGTGTCCTTACTGATCATGATGTAGCGGCTTTGCTGATCAGCCTTAAAAACCCTTAGCACTTGATCTGGCAAGTCTGGGGAAAGAAAAGTCACACATAAGTAGAAAGAATTTTAATATATGGCAATGCAATTAAGCAAAGTAATCGGAAAAAAAGCTCCCCAGAAAAAGCAATGCTGAACTTTTACCTCTCCCTTACTCTAGGTCTTCCTCAAAGAATCAGTCAAACTACCTGCTGTTCTGCTGCAAGAACACACCTTTCCCTAAAGGTAACAGATTGATCTACAGACAGCAGCAAGCACATCAGTAGACAACAGCAGCACACAAGACTGTCATGCTGGCATCAAAGAAATAAAATTTAAATCCAGAGTTAATCTTTATTGTAGGCCGGGCGCGGTGGCTCAAGCCTGTAATCCCAGCACTTTGGGAGGCCGAGACGGGCGGATCACAAGGTCAGGAGATCGAGACCATCCTGGCTAACCCGGTGAAACCCCGTCTCTACTAAAAACTACAAAAAACTAGCCGGGCGAGGTGGCGGGCGCCTGTAGTCCCAGCTACTCGGGAGGCTGAGGCAGGAGAATGGCGTGAACCCGGGAGGCGGAGCTTGCAGTGAGCTGAAATCTGGCCACTGCACTCCAGCCTGGGTGACAGAGCGAGACTCCGTCTCAAAAAAAAAAAAAAAAAAAAAAATCTTTATTGTATTGAAAAGTCCATTAAATAGACCTAAAATATGCTTCTTACTCTATTTATTTAATATGATTTAGTAATCATGGCATGGGATGCGTTATCTTCATTTTATGAAAGAAGAAACAAGTTCAGAGAGAGAATCTGCCTATGGCCATATAAAAATATTGTGCTGAACATAAAGAGAACGGGTTCCAACACCTGGTTTCAAGAATCTTGAAGTTTAAGGTTCATCCTTACTCAGCATCTGATATAATCCATGACAAATGAAGAGAGATAGATATAACATGACCATTATGTTAGAAATAAAAAGATAACTACAAGAAAACAAAAGAAGTGTTGGTGATACTCACCAGGAGTAGTACTGAAGTCTAAAATGCGATGATGTGACTGCAATAAATCAGGATTACTGGATGATAAGGTTCCACTGACAGGCAATGCAGTTGGGATGTGCTTTGTCTGCCTTAATCCTACTATGCTGTCATCTTGAGACTGACCAATCCCAATATCACTGAACAAAGAGGAAAATTAGAAAATTATCAGCAAGTTAAAAAGTTGTAAGTCATCACTATACAATAGACACAGACCAAAAACCGTATTCCATTTTTTTTGCAGCTAATGTAAAAACATCATTAATAAATGTGGTTGAAAATTGCAAAAGCAACTACTGCTTAAGTGTATCTGACTCATTTTGTGCTTTTGTTTTGCTTTTTTTTTTTTTTTTTTTTTTTTTAGACACAGCGTCTTGCTTTGTTGCTCAGGCTGGTCTTGAAACTCTTGGCCTCAAGTAGTGATCCTCCCACTGCGGCCTCCCAAAGTGCTAGGATTACAGGCGTGAGTAACAGCACCCAGCCTCATTTTGCTGTTTCTTGTGTATAGTATGTTTCTCTAAAACCTATGGTTTTTCTAAGTAGATAAGTCATAACAAAAATTAGTAGTTACTTACCATAGAAATACATTAAAAAAAATAAGCTCTAGCTTCTGATGGAAATGTATTTAAGAAAAAGTACATTAAAAAGAATACATTTATCTCACTCAACTGATAGTTCTGCATCAGAATGATAAATTATTTTATAATCTGACCTTCAATAGTTGAAGAAATTGAGTAAAATGAAAAGAGGAGGAAAAAAATTCAAAGTGTCCTAATTTTATTTTCCAGTGCTTTAGAGAAAAAATGAGATCATTATGGAGTCCAATGTAAGGAGACTCTGACACAGATATTATTTCTTGATTATACAGAGCATAAAAAAACAGTGGTGCATGGTGACATTTCCTAGCATCAAAGAAAAGGCAACAGAAATCCAATGACTCACTTTTAATTCTCCGATCAAAATTTCTAGCTACCCATTTAAGTATCCAGAGAAATACTGGTTATTATTGACAGCAACAAACTCGTTTCCATTTATAAAAAGCCTGTTACTGTGAACTCTTGAAACATGATTTAACAATATGTAAAAACTATTTCTAGAATGAAGGGTCAACTGTTTCCAAAACAAAACATCACATAAAGCAATAAGCAAACACACACAGAAATAACTGGGGTCACAAGAAAATGGTTATAGCTCAGACTAGTTTCTATAAACACCTTGAAATAAGAGGAAAATTATATTAAGGCTGGAATATAAACTAAGGTGTCATGAATAAAATGAATAAATTTAGCATTTATTAGCCGTTCCCACATTAGGGCTTGATCATAATAACTACTATTTTTAATGGCTATGCTAAAAAACAGCAGCATTTCTCCTCTTTACTTTTTTTTTTTTGAAAATGGAAATTATAGAGGTAAATAAGGGCAAAAACATTTTTTAAAGACAAAAATTAAATTAAAATTAGAGACAATTTCACATTATACGAAAAAGACACCTGCACACATTTTGTTTAGAGCAGCATAATTCACAATTGCGAAACTGTGGAAGCAACCTAAGTGCCCACTAACTAACGAGTGGATAAAGAAAACACATTTACAGCTACACCATGGAATATTACTCAGCCATAAAAAGGAACAAAATCATGTCTTTTGCAGCAACTTGGATGCAGCTGTTGGTCATTATTCTAAGTGAAATAATGGTGAAAAACCAAAATCCCTATGTTCTCACTTATAAGCTATGAGTAGGCAAAGGCATACTGAGTGATATAATGGACTTTGGAGACTCAGAAGGGGAAGGGTGAGGTGGGGGCCAGGGATTAAACAAAGCTACACATCAGGTGCAATGTATACTACTTGGGTGATGGGTGCACTAAAATCTCAGAATTCACCACCACTATATAATTCATCCATGTAACAAAAAGTCACGTGTACCCCAAATGCTATTGAAATAAAAATTTAAAAAATTAAAGACAACTTCAGTGTGAATTATTTCAAATTCATAGGTCAGTCTGGGACAAAATTAAATTTCTATTGAAGCATAAAACCGGCATAAAGACTAAAAGTAATAACATTCTGTAAAAGATGAAAACTTTCACGTTAGTGGAATTTTATTTTTCAACCATATAAAGCAGTCTCTGCAAAAAACCTGCTATGTAATACATGACACAAGATCATTATTATGGGCTCAGGACAAAGCATAGCTGACTGGGCCACTCTGGCACAAAAGGCTACAAATATTAGCATCTTGCAGGCACACCCAACATTTAAGAACCGTTTCTCCGTAACACTTTAACACCTTATGTGATGAACTCCCTTTCTACTCTCAGTTTCTTCATTACTCACCTACATCTCTGTCATCCATAGACATGCGGACGCTCTTGGATTGAAACTATTTTATATCCAAGACCTAATTCAGAAATATCCCTTTCTGGGAACATCCTCTTATGATTCTACCTCTCCAACACTTGCCTTGTTACTGAAATTGCCTTTCGATCCTTGCTGGTTTTATAGTGTACTGACTTACTCCTTCTTGTCTCTGGGTTCATTAGTCTTTTTCTACTTACTTGGCAACCAAATCTGAATTCTGGGAGCTCAAGCCCCACCTTCTCCTTCCTCTCTATGCACATCGCTCAATTGTGCCTACCTTGCCAATTTGCCATTATCTAGCATCTTAGCTTCTCTAAGGCTGATAATGTTTGAGGAAAAAACTCAACAGTATACTCTATCTAGACTTCTCTAATTACTAGCTTAGTAGCTTTGTAAAAAAAAAAAATCCTCATAAACAAATGATAATTTCTAGAAAAGTGTTAATAGCTAGTATAGTATAAATCAAGTCTATTACCAATATAATAGATCCTACAGCTTAGTGAAACTTCCTTTTTCTTTTCAATTGCATTACACATAGGATTTCAAATAATTTTCATGATAAATCTTTAAATGAGTCATATTATTTTCCTAAATACAAATTATTTAAGATGTTTCCTCAGTGTTTTAAAATCAACACATCTAATTATTCTTGTTCTTTTCCCTTGTCTAGCTTTAGAGTATTTCTAAATACACATAGAACAAAATTATACATAGTATTCTCATACTGTGTTCCTCTCCAACATCCAGTATTTTTGATGGATTACATCCCAGTTCTTACATGTCACATTTCTATTTATACTTGCCAGGGTCATACCAACTTTTTTTTAAAGGTTCTTATTTAACTCATGGTCAAATATGACTCTAAGATCTTTCTTTGTTATTGTGCTGTTAATAATTCTGCATTTAGGACTGGGTGTGGTGGCTCATGCCTGTAATCTCAGCACTTTGAGAAGCCCAGGTGGGTGGATCATTTGAGGACAGGAGCTCAAGACCAGCCTGGCCAAACAGCAAAATCTTGTCTCTACTAAAAATAAAAAAAAATTAGCTGAGCATGGTGGTGCACACCTGTAATCCCAGCTACTCAGGAGGCTAAAGAACGAGAATTGCTTGAGCTCAGGAGGTGGAGGTTACAGTGAGCAGATCCCAGCAATTGTACTCCAACCTGGTTGACAAAGCGAGACTCTGTCTCGAAATAATAAATTAATTTTAAAAATCTGCATTTAGGTAATTTATTCTTTTCATCCATTTAAAAAAAAGCTTTTCATCAAGGAGGGTTATTTTAAAAATTGATTCTTATTTTCTGTAAATGTCAGGTGCCCTAATCCATTGTCTCTTAGAAACTTACTCAATATAAATATCCTATTGAGTCTATAACTACTACTCACTGCTTATCCTTAGGACTCTGCTATAGAAGACTTCTTCAGCTGATACAAAACCACCAATCATTACTCTATAGTTTAATTGGGACAACTCAATCAATCAATAATATATTTTAAATCATATTTCTCTAATCTGTAGATGAAAATTTTATCTGAAATGGAGTTTTTTTTTTAAAAGATCTGAAATGGAATTTTTTAAAAAAAGAAAAAGAAGTGTTTGATATAGTCCTGTATATCTACTGCATGTCTTTAGACCCATTAATTTATCAAAGAAAGAAATTATACGTTTTAAAGTTATTATCTCTTCTAACATTGTAGTTTGGGGACTATATAACTAAATGTGGCACAGTGAGAAATGGCTGACAGTAATCGAGTTTTATAAAACATCCCTAGACTCAAGAAGGAACTAAAATGAAGAAATAAGCAAGCAAACAAGCAAAGCTTAAAAAGCATCAGAAATACCTGCAATTTTGTCTAGCCTGGCTGAGCTCCCGGCATAAATAAGTAACCAAGAAGAAATTCAAGAATACACCTGACATTCTGACCACTAAGTTGACTGGGAAGAATGAAAGGAGTTCTGTGCTTGGTTGTTGATGCCCTGACAGTAATTAAATAACTGAAAATAGAAGAGATAGGGGAATATAGAGAATAATAGGGATGAATAGTGGCAACTGGATAAAGCAATGATTTGATTGGTAACGAGCAGATGTTGTTGGTAAAGAAGATACCCAGAAACAAAATACAGTAGAGAAAGCAACTCTAAATCATCACGGAGGAGACAGGAGGCAAACACACCCTTACTTTTAAAAAGTCCAAACCTGCGACTGGGTGCAGTGGCTCACACCTGTAATCCCAGCGCTTTGGGAGGCCAAGGCGGGTGGATTACGAGGCCAGGAGTTCAAGACCAGCCTGGCCAAGATGGTGAAACCCAGTCTCTACTAAAAATACAAAAATTAGCTGGGTGTGGTGGCAGGCGCCTGTAATCCCAGCTACTCGGGAGACTGAAGCAGAAGAATCACTTGAACCCGGGTGGCAGAGGTTGCAGTGAGCCGAGATCGCACCACTGCACTTCAGTCTGGGCAATAAGAGGGATACTCTGTCTCAAAATAAAAAAACAAAAAACAAAAGAAAAAAAACTCCAAACCCCCCAAAAATAGTTCAAATGAGGAAATGCTAAACTATCTTTAAAGAAGATTGGGAGTGGCCAAATAAGTGGCAAAAACGAGATTAAAACAAATTTGTTTAATTACTTCTTCCAAAATAGCTCAGTAATAAAAACCTAGAACATTTTCAGACTCATGCAAACATTAATTACATCACTACCTTTGCATATCATTTTAACAAAACAAAATAATGCACAGAAAATGTAGGCAGATGCTTACTTGTATGGTTTCTGTGGCAAGATACTGATCCGAGTCTTGTCGAGTATCTTTTTCAGCTTGTTCCTTCCTCCAACAGTGTTGGCTTTACTTTTTTTGTTCACTTTTTCAAGTCCTATCACCTGTTCTACATCTACAGCAAGATCTGGAATGGAGTAGCGACTGGCCTTTTTGATGTCACCAATTTTAGGAAGGTGGGGGGCACCATTTCTTTTCTCTTCTGACAGTCTGGTTAGAAGTTCTTTAAATACTAAAATAAATGAAAACAGAAACACCACATAATGGCAATTAGAAGATATCAGAACAATTCTAAGGCAATTGTGGAACTTGGAAATACATGAGAAGTACAGACTTCAGTTATCAAAACTGCAAACCTGCAGAAAAACAAAACCACACAGTAAATGAATGACGCCAAATCTGCTTGGTATGTTGCTCTATCAAAATAAGTTTAAAAAGAGTAGTACAGTACACTCTTTATGGGTATTTTCGTATTTATCAATAAAATATTTCAGTTATCAATAAAGACATAGATTCAAAATATATATTATGGTCAAGTCAGTAGCTTTTTATTTAGATCGAATCTATGCTTTTACCATACATGCTTTCTTATGATGTCTGAAATACTGGGGGGAAAAAAGGCCAAAAGGAGAAAAACGAAAAGTATGCCAAATACTTACCAAATAAATTGGTTTTCACAGTGATAGATAAATGTGTGTTATTTCTAAGAATTTCCATGGCTTTTGACAGCTGAATGTTTTCAAAGTTTTGGCCATTTACTTCTAATATCTAAAAATAAAATTATAAAATTAATGTATCAAAACTGACTGGAAAAAACAACAACAACAACAACAACAACACAGACACCAAAATTCACCCTTAAATCTGAGTTTAGAAATAGCATACCTGATCCCCCCGTTTCAAGCCTGCTTCAGTTGCTTTGCTACCTGAATCTACACTGTCAACAAAGATTCCAAATCCCTTTTCGGAGCCTCCAAGTAAGATAAAAGGCAAAGGAGCTTCTCGGGATGGTTTTGTTAACGTCATCAATCTTCTTTTTGCTTTAGCAGCACATGCGATATTCAACAGCCTTAGGTGTCCACCCATTTTCTGTAAGAGTTCAGAAACAGTAGTGTCAACTCAAAAACAGGCTGAATAAAATGAACTTTAAGCTGATCTTAAAAAAAACCCACAAATATTACCTCTCTTTCCAGATTGTTTTCAAATTCTTCTAAAAATCGAGTCATTGCAGGATCTCCTTCAAAGTCATTGAAGTGATTATTTACCCACAATAATACTACCCGTGTAACCTGAAAAGTCAATTATTTTCCGTAAGTGTCCTTTTTAGTGCCAAAAATGTGATTAAAGTCATTCCAGAAAAGATATCCAACTTTCAAACACTTTACCTAATAATAATAAACAGGAAAATAAATTAACAATAAAGTCTTCAATGAGGATGACCTTCTGAAAATCAATTATTTTTACTTTGACTATAGACTTCATGTTGCTTTGCCAGGAAAGGTTCTGAGTCTGTGAGGGTATTTAACCTAAAACTTGTCTAACTTTCAAAATGCATTTGAAATAGATCAAAATAAAAGCAAAGGTGTAATAAAACAAAAATCAGCTAACACAAAAGACAGAAACTAGAAAGTAAAGGTAGAAGAACAGACTAGACAAAGAGAATCAATGCTATTAAGCCTAGAAAGCTCCGTAAGGGTGCAGAATATAAAAGGAAGGAGATAAGATAACATAGTTTATCATCCAATCTGGCCTTAGTGCTCTCAAGAGCTCTAGATGGTCTCCTTAGAATTATAATCCTGGGGCCTACAGTGAGTGATGACTGCCATAAAATGCTGCTTTGGTGCCAATTTAAAAATTGTAACTTTTATCTGGTGTACACTGACTACCAAACTAGAAAATGCAGATTCCTATGGAATCCAGATGTTTGATTATGTTTTAACACACTCCCAACAGAACTTAAAAAATGTTTAAACATTTGGTGGCCAATTTATTGGCCCTTGTATTTAAAGAAGACTGAACTAATATTTTGTTCATATTTCTAAGTCTGAACTAATATTTTTATATCACCTTTTTTTTTTTTTTTTTTTTTTTTTTGCTTAAGAAGTACATTCTCCTATTTCATTACATTAATCTGGACATAATTGCTGTGACAAATATTTACATGTTTACATTTTAACGTTTCATATTTAAGAATCAAAATAGAATATATTTCCAACCTTATCCCTGAGGCTCGGGTCATTAAACCACTCCAATAACTTTTTGCCCACTTCCATTGGGCTAGAAAGAAAAGTCCTATAGGTCAACAGAAAGTCTTCTATGAATGTTGGATCTACTACTGAATGCTCTTCTACCAAATGCATTGTTAACCTTTCTGAGGTACCCTGTAACAAAAAAAAGGTTTAATTACTATATATATATATGTAACATTTATATGGTACTGGGATTTCAAACATTCAACATAAAATTAATTGGGTAGTAACACAGTTAACAATAAATGAAACTGCTATTCATCAGGAGATCATACCTAAAGATTTTCCACAACTGATAACCTTTAAGAGATAGGCTTAAAAATGAAAAAAATCCTAAACTGCCACAACCAATACTACCAAAAAAATTCCTTTCCTTGGGAAGTAGGAGTGGTCCTGCATCCTACCTTGATGACAATGTGTCCCTTTCTTGTTCCAGTTCGATCAAGTTCTCGGTGTTCTTTCACCATAACAATCTCTCCTTCCTCTTCAACTTTTTGCATGTTCTTTTCTACTTGGTTGAGAATACGGCAGTAATCTTGCTGGGCTATGCAGACAAACTGGAATAAAACATAAGTCACATGTTAATGATAAAGTGCTTGTAAAAGACTTAGCAGTACTAATAATTCAGTGTTTTAATTATTTAAAACTGACATTTTTCCCTGTCTTTCCCATACTTTCTAAATTAATGCTGTAATGAACCTTAATCAGACTTCTCTACTTTTAATGTATTTCTTCCTCGGTCAAGAAAAGTTTCATTTCTAGAGTATTTATATGTATTTTACATTCAAAATCCTAACAATTTTAAAAACCTAAAGACAAAATTAGAAGATAGCTTTTTCATGCTTCTTTCACAGTTAAAAAACATTGCAGTGGGGGGAGCAGAACTGTAGGAGAATAGATGTAAAAACTTAATTATCATTTAGTGAATTAAAAGAATTTGAAAAAGCAACAATTTTTGAATGAGAATGATTTTAATAAAAGATACAGACACTCAAAGATACCTATGGAGTAGACATATTTGCTAATTACATTGATGAAACACCATTTTAGAAAGCTTGTTCAAAGAAGGCCAAAACACAAACCACATTATGTGTTATAGCTCAAACCATTATCCTTATAACTGGTATTAAGGGTAATTCTTGCTCTTAAAGAAAAAGTTTAAAATCTGCATATTAAGTCATTACTCTCCCTGACCCCAAATATAAAAAATTTCAGAGCTTAGGGCAAACCACTTAAGAAATTACATTTCTTACAAGTTTTAAAAAAAGTTAAGAATGAATGATAAAAATCACTTATTATAGAAATTAACTAGAGGTTAGTGAGGAGACAAGAGATCATTTGGAAATGGAAAGAAGTATAGTATTTCTTTTTCTCCTTTAATGTGAAGAAGATGAAAAAGAAGGTGGTTAAATTATATTGTAAATAAGATAAAATATGATGCAACCACCTGAAATCATGATTTCATAGGGCACTTAGAGCTCTGATAATACATTATTCTTTTTATATTGCTCATATGAATTTTTTAAAAAGATACTACACTAAGTATTATGATAATCATAATGACAACATCTTCATCATCACCGCCATCACCATCACACTGTGGCAGCCTTATGGAACTTTTTCAATTCATCCTCCTCATCAAACCATGAGGAAGGTGCTATTATCCTCATTGTACAGATGGCTAAACAGCCCGATGTCTCATAACTACATGCTGGCCACTTTAAAATAAATTACACATGCACATCAAAATCTTGGAGGGAAATAAACTGTTAATATTATTTCTGAGCAATACAAATTTTGAGTGACTTTCATTTTAATATTTTTCTATATTTTTCATGCTTTCTGCATAACCAATAGATTTTAAGTAGAAGCAGCAGTTCATAAGAGGAACAGCATATTGCAGTATCATGTTTCTCCCAGAGTTGGCTAATCTCACTAGTTTTTCTATTAAGCATTTTGAAGCAAAAAGTTAAAAATCAAAAGATATAGGCTTTTTTTGTACTAATAATTATGTATACTTTAATTATATTAAAAATACTTTTAGAGCTCTGATACTACATTTTTAAAAATATTGCTCATAGTATCACACTAATTTTATAAATAAACTGTTAACATTATTTCTGAGCAATTTCCTTAACACTGACCACAGGTGTATAAAGTTTCAAAGTATATGATCCTTAGTTTCTTATCTAAAAAATATTTTATTTCTTTGTACACAGCAGCAAAATTATTCCCAAATACATAGAAGAGATTTAGAATGGTTTTATTTCCAAATAATTCTAGGTGTTCTTTCTTGCGCTCAGTTTTACAGAACATAATTAAATACTCATTTTCTCATTTATCTTCTAAAAAAGAAATACATCCCTGAATTCAACTGAATAAGTAGATATAAGGGAAAAATGCTTTTTGAAGAGAAATGTACTAAAATTAATCTTGACTACAGACTTTTAATTAGAATACATTTGATTTGAAATTCTTAGTGTCTAGACAGACATTTTGGCATTTATTCTGTAGCAAGCTGAAATACCATCCAGAAAGGAAAAAAAAGAAAAAAAATCCCAAACTGAATTTCTAATATGGTCATATAGAACTGGCACCTAAAAAGAAATACATTTTACATGAAAATATTTATCTTTTTTAAAGAAGCTACTTATTTTTGCTATAACAAATTTATAGATCTAACATGAAATTCACAGGTAACATTTAATTTTAACTAATACGATGAAGTCAGTTGAAAATCTTTGAAAAAAAAAATTTTTTTTTTTTTTTTTTTTTTTTGGAGAGAATCTCACTCTAGCGCCCAGGCTGGAGTGCAGTGGTGTGATCTCGGCTCACTGCAACCTCCAGCTCCTGGGTTCAAGTGCCTCAGCCTCCCAAGTAGCTGGGATTACAGGCATGGACAACCATGCACAGCTAATTTTTTGTATTTTTAGTAGAGATGGGATTTCACCAGGCTGGTCTCAAACTCCTGACCTCACGATCCGGCTGCCTCGGCCTCCCAAAATGCTGGGATTACAGGCATGAGCCACCGCACCTGTTCAGAAAATCTCTGAATTGCTTTACTGAGGTTTTAGGTTTCTGTAAATCTCATGGGTTTCAGATTGCTGTAAGCCCATGAAAGTACTATATGATCTCAGTACCCTGGTATGAAATAAAAATTCAAATAAGAATTCACTTAAAGTCAATGGCAGTTTATATCATAGGATTATTTTCCTTTGGGCATGACATTATAATTTGTATTTAAGTAAAACATTACAGATGATGAATGAAATAAAATTAAACTTCAATCCACATATGGTGTAATCAATTTTCAATTTATCCACAGCAAACTGTTTTCTCATCCAAAACTGCTTCTTACACTCTAAGTGGTATTAGTGCCTATGATTCCAGGAAGAGGTGAATCTAACATAGATTTGCTTTAAGAGGTTAGATCTATTTAAACTGGCACTTTGCAGTCTGTGAGGGAAATTCATACCGAATTGTTCACACAGGTATCCAAGTGTTCATTCCCCACTTGAAGGGTGGAGGGCAGGGCTAAGCAATGCCTGGGTGTCACTGGCAGGCCTAAGATACAGGCAGTGGAGAAGAATAAAGGGACTAAGAGGGTAAAAGAGGAAATGAAGAAAGGGAAACAGAAGAAGTGAAAAAGAAAAGAAAGAGGCATATGTGGGTAATGGAAAACCATTACCAATTGCCTGGTGCCATAGGGTGTGTGTATCAAGCTCTGAATTTTGTCCTTTCATACCACACAGGGAGTAAGAATAGACACTGAAGAGGGAGAACTGGAAGAGAATACAAAGAAGGGACCCAGAGCAAAACAAGAGCTTGACCATGTCATGGGATCCAAACAAATAAATCTTAAATTTAATCCATTCATCATTGTGTTCTTAGGCTTAACATGAGCTCAACTATCTTACTACAGAAACCAATATTCATTTTGGAACTCCCTGAAATATAAGATAATGACGACAAAGCCTATACAAAGTTGTTTTTTCTTGGTAAAGATAGCATCATTTTTGTTCATTTCACTCAATAACTTGCTTCCCTACAATATGATCAGTAAAATAACAGAAACTCATGGAGGCTATTTTATGCATGAATAAAAATATGGTTCTCACCGTTTCCTTTACCTCTCTCAACAAGGAGATGAACTAACATTTGTATTTTCTGACAGATATATGATATTTTAAAATGGTATCCCAAGCAAGCACTTAAAATGCCAAAATTCGTTCTCCATCCCTGTTTAAGGAATTCCTTAGGGATAAAATGCTAGGCCTGAGCAGATGGGTCAATGGAAGTACAGGAACGAAATCCCTGATTTAACATATTCCTTTTACAGTGGTGTGGAGTGGAGCAGAAAGGAAGACAGGGACTTTCTTTAGCAGGTACCTCAACCCTTGACCCTCTTCATAATTAACTTCATACTAGGAGCTATAGGAGTCTATAGATCTTTTTTTTTTTTGGAGACGGAGTCTCGCTCTGTCGCCCAGTCTGGAGTGCAGTGGCGTGATCTCGGCTCACTTCAAGCTCTGCCTCCTGGGTTCATGCCATTCTCCCGCCTCAGCTTCCCAAGTAGTTGGGACTACAGGCGCCCGCCGCCACGCCTGGCTAATTTTTTGCATTTTTAGTAGAGACGGGGTTTCACCATGTTAGCCAGGATGGTCTCGATCTCCTGACCTCGTGATCCACCCGCCTTGGCCTCCCAAAGTGCTGGGATTACAGGCGTGAGCCACTGCGCCCAGCCAGAAGTCTATATATCTTAATCAGAGTTTTATTTTGAATTGGACTCTTCCCTGCTGACTATGTGGGTTTCCCACTAATCTTTCACCTGGTAAATAAATTAGATTCTTTTCCCTAACATAACCCCTACTTCCTCTTCCTTTTCCAGAACTCCCAGATAAATAATGTTACCTGGTACATTTGACATGACTTAAGCACTCTATAATATTCAGTCATATAACATTTCAATCAATTATCCTGAAACATTCTATGCCGCATATCATTTCAGTCTCATACTTACAAAACTTCTAACAAAAGAGTTTGGCTAAGGGGTAGTAATGTAATGGCTGAATTCTCAAAAAAAAAAAAAAAAAAAAAAAACAACAAACTTTTACTTGCCCTTTAAGGACACACACTCTAACTCAAACACTATTGTAATTCCACTATGTAGAAGGGTTCAGGGAAGAACTGAGAAGACAGGAGACAGGAAAAACCTTTAACAATTTGCTAGCTTGTTTTGACTCAGTTTAGATTTAGTTTTTTTTTTTTTTTTCAAGAGTACAATTACAGAGCTGAAATAGCATATATAATTCCCTTTAAATGCACATTCCCGCTAAATAAAGACTTCAATATTTACCATTTGTTTTCCTCTATTATACCACAAAACTGAGAATTAGCCATTTTGTTTTCCTCTCTTATACCATTTTGTTTTCCTCTACTATACAAAATAATTGGGAAGTAAATATATTTAGAATGCGTTTCTGGCATTACATATTTACAACACTGAATTCATAGCCTTATTTTTTTTTCCTCTATGGTGCTCATGGAAGGAATTAGCTGGTGGAATTATTTAGATTCTATAAATAAGATAATTTTATGTATAGCCATGGTCATTTTCCTTTTTAGTAAGTAAAATGCTTAAAATGAATATTTAAATGAGTGATACCATTTTACATTGACCGGGCACTATAAAAATTCAATTATGTTATTTTAAAATAAACTATATTCAGGTGTTTTTCAAACTGCAGACTAATAAATACAATGACACTTAATTAGTCTAAGTCACATCATTTGGTTGTTTACATTTAATTTTGTTTCAGAGACAAATCCTTTTAGAAGTCATAAATTATAAACACCTAATAATATCAAAAGCATCTTAAATGTATTTCTCTGTAATATGCTGGTTGCCAGTTAAATCAATCTAGTTTCACATTTGGCCTTAGTATTTTCTCTAGTCAATTATTAAATGCTTTTAAATAATAAATATTAATAAAATATCAATACTGATACTATTTGTCTTTTGCTATCAAGTATTTTCTTTTTATTAGCTATTATTTAACTAGCAAGTCATTCTACTGATTCACACTATGATTAATTTCCATGACTCTTCTAAAATCAATTTCTTACATGTATTTAAATAAAAACACTGCATAACTATACCTAATCACTTTTATTAATGTATTTACTTCATAATGTGCATTTTACTTCCATATTTTGATGAGATTATTAATTACTGATGGCAATCACTTTTTTTTTAATTGAACTCACAGTTCTGTGCAGTTCAAGTAACTTTAATGGAGATTAATTTTTACTTTTCTGCGGTGTTATAAGACTAAAAGTAATAGTTCCACATTAAAATTTTATTGGTGCAGGCATGGTGGCTCATGTTTGTAATCCCAGCACTTTGGGAGGCTGAGGCGGTGGATCACTTGAGGTCAGGAGTTTGAGACCAGCCTGGCCAACATGGCAAGACCCCATCTCTACCAAAAATACAAAAAGGCCAGGTGCAGTGGCTCACGCCTGTACTCTCAGCACTTTGGGAGGCCAAGGCAGGTGGATCATGAGGTCAGGAGTTCGAGACGAGCCTGGCCAATGTGGTGAAACCCCATCTCTACTACAAACACAAAAATTAGGTGGGCATGGTGGCGCGCACCTGTAGTCCCAGCTGCTCGGCAGGCTGAGGCAGGAGAATCGCTTGAACCCGGGTGGTAGAGGTTGCAGTTAGCTGAGATCGCACCACTGCACTCCAGCCTGGAAGACACAGTGAGACTCTGTCTCCAAAAAAAAAACAAAACAAAACAAAAAAAACCACAATTAGCTGGGTGTGGTGGTGAGTGCCTGCAATCCCAGCTACTCCGGAGGCGAAGCAGGGGAATCACTAGAATCCAGGAAGCGGAGGTTGCAGTGAGCCGAGATTGTGCCACTGCACTCCAGCCTGGGTAACAGAACAATACTCTGTCTCAAAAAAAAAAAATTTATTTGTAAGGTATTTATATAGGAAGAAAAATCTCATCACAATGGCATATAAGTGCTCTTTATTAAGAATAAAATATATACTTTTAATGATATATTTTATACCTGGCAGTCATCCACCTTTGTTCTCATCACTCCTTTCATGTATTCTTTGTCCATGGTAGGAGAGACACCAAAACTATTTCCCATACATAGTATTTCTGCTTTTCCATCTGGATAAGTCACTTCCACAGATCCATTGAGAATCACTGACCAGGAGTCCAGCTAATCCAAAAAAATAAAGACAAAGCAGAAAGTAACATCATGATCATACAGCTGAAGGTGCTAGTACGGTCCCTAAAAATGAATGAGCAGATCTTCCATTTTGGAGATAAAACAAGTAACTCTATTTTACTGTTTAACAAGTTCACAGAAAAAGGAATAAAACACAGCCACGTATTGACATGTTTCCATATGCCTAGCACTGAACGCGTATCATAATGCCCTTTTAGTTTGACTTTGGATATTCTTCTCTAAAATGACACAAGGAAAAAAATTTCTCTGTCCCCCAAAGCTCATGTAGACAAAATGATCATCATTGCTTCAATATCATTTTGTCTGAAAAAAGGCATTAAATTTACGAACATTTAAGATGTAAAAACTGAAAAGTTAATATATCAAAACTTTCTATTTGCATATGAAATTCTGCAAATAATGGGAAATAGAATGGATTTGGAATATAGTGACTCATATGGTTTGGCTCTGTGTCCCCACCCAAATCTCATTTGAGTTATACTCCCATAATTTCCATGTGTTGTGGGAAGGACCCAGTGGGAGATAATTTGAATAATGAGAGTGGTTTTCCCTACGCTGTTTTCGTGCTAGTGAATAAGTCTCACGAGATCTGATGGTTTTATCAAGGGTTTCTGCTTTTGCATCTTCCTCATTTTTCCTCTTGCCGCTGCCATGTCAGAAGTGCCTTTTACCTCCTGCCATGATTCTGAGGCCTCCCCAGTCATGTGGAACTGTAAGTCCAATTAAAACCTCTTTTTCTTCCCAGTCTCAGGTATGTCTTTATCAACAGTGTGAAAATGGACTAATACAGTGACATAACAGGTGTACCATAATTCTTGATTTATTCAAACTTACTGTTGTTGGGTGTTAAAAAGGAAAAAGTAAGAATTGGGGTTTTGTTCAATTGCTGTATTGAGATCTTTAAGAAGAAACTTTTTAGGTGGTAAGAATAGCTAATCACCTCTTCACCATCATTTAACACTATGGTCCCTGCTCTTTCCACCACTGCGAACACCATCACAGCACAGAGTTCTCGCCTCACGGACATCGTCATATTGGCAAAAGCAGGCAACTGGTGCATAAATTCCAAGAGTTGTTCTGAAAAGCAAAAGACATACTTTATAAACACTACAACTTTTATGAAAAACAAGTGTTCAAAAAGAATGCTTTAGGTTCCTTTCTTTTTAAATGCCCTACAATGTTGCTTATTGAAAAACACATCTCAAGTATCTTTAACACCAGTTGAATTTCTTGCAGGTACACAAAAAATTCTGTCACTGTGGAGATGATGACACTTACTTGTTGAATTAGAGGCAACAGTTTACACTGTAACTCCAGTTCTAACGCCACTAAAGACATTACTAAACTTCAAATGGGAAATTTCAATTGTAAATGAGATACAAGGCTTATTATCACATGAGTGAAAAATGAAAGGTGGCTCTGAGAATTCTCCAACAAGTCAGTTGGTCCACTCCTGTGCCTTTTGGGCAGGTGGATGCCTACAATAGTCAGCAGAAATAACTATATTTAATTCAAACATTCTAAGGAATATTTTCCATGGATCAAATCTATAAAAAATGATCAATTAAAAAATTAACAACATGATATAAATGAAAATGAAAACTGATATACCATTTTTTAGCCCACAAGTTGGCAAAAAAGGAAATTTGATCGCTCTTCCTTCCTGTGGGGATACTGTGGAGAAACAGCTTACACCTTAGTATGGTTCTAGCTGTTGATGTCACAGTCTCTTCAAGTCCTGGGTTTTCTATTTTTAAAAGTCCTGTATTTTCTTATCATTCAGTAGCTTTACTAATTACACACTAAGTTCTTTCCTTACTCCTCACCATGGCTCTGTGAAGTGCATTTTCTTTTTCATTTCATAGGGAGGAAACCAAGGCTCAGCATCAGCACCATATAATTAAGAGATGGCAAGACCAGGCGCGGTGGCTCGTGCCTATAATCCCAACATTTTGGAAGGCTGAGGCAGGAGGATTGCTTGAGGCCAGGAGTTTAAGATCAGCCTGAGCAATCTGGCAAGATCCTATCTCTACAAAATATTTAATAAATTAGCCACGTGTGGTGGTGCATGCCTATAGTCCCAGATACTCAGGAGGCTGAGGTGGGAGGATTGCTTGAGCCCAAGAGTTTGAGGTTATAATGAACTGTGATTGTGACAATGCACTCCATCCTGGGTGAAAGAGACTCTGTCTCTTAAAAAAAAAAAAAAAAAAAAAAACTACAAAAAAAACCGTGGCAGTGACATGATTCAAGACCATCTGTTTCCAAGGTCCTGCTGGACTTTAAAGGCAGTGGTAAAGAGCACAGGGTGTACGTCAGACATTTAAATGCTTACTAGTTGTATTACTTTGGGTAAGTTGATCAATTTCCCTAAGGCATAGTTTTCTCATTTAAAAAGAAAAATACAGTATCTGTTTTACTGGATAGCTGTGAGAATAAAATGCAGTAAAGACAATAAGAGTCTGTGGCACAGAGTAAACACTCAATAAATGAGAACTGCTATTACTGTCATTATTATAATAGTCATGATATCATTCAAACTTTCGGCTAAATAAAAATTATACTAGATGTTTCTTGTACATAATCAAACATTTCCTATGTACATTCCTTTTATCTGTTAAGCTTTAGTGACAAATTTTATGTTCTTGGATACAGTTTGTTAATTACTAAAACAAAGCACAACAGAAAAATATATTCTGTGAATATATTTTCCCAGATACAACATTTCTGGAAGGACAGACTTGAGTGGTTTTCTCTGGTCCAGTTGGGCAACGGCATGTTCTGATTGGACTCTATGTCATCCCTCCTATATAAGACTTTTCATTACACAGGGGGGCTCTGGCAACAAGCAAAATGATAATGACAGGTGTACCCAAAGATTCTGTCCAATAGGACAGTGCTGTGCAAACTGACTCAGATTTATGTGTCAGGAAATCACTTTACTTTTGCTACCAGTATTTTTTAAAAAAGAAGTTAAACTATCAAAGCACATCAGTTATAGAAAGAATACGTTCTGTTTCATGAAACTTTTATTTCTGGAATGAGTAGGAGTGTCTGTGCTGTACCATAAAATGTATTTATTCCTGGAGAAGCAGTAAAGCAATTTTGAATACCAATGCAAGAGATGACCCATATCTATCATATATGGGAGCCAGGAATCATTGTTTTACCAATGCACTGACCTTTTGATTTGAATTATAAAGGCAAATGAACAAGTCATGGTCTTCTGAAGCACATCCCAGTTAACTCTGCAGTTTCCAGCTCTGTTTTCTTTAGCCTTCATCCCTCACCCCTCACCATAAACTATGACACTATTACCTATAGACCATGCATTTTACTTTTTCCCACCCCTTGTATTTGCTAAATTTCTTTGGACAAGCAAAGTTTCGTGGGTTTAAGAAAAATGTGGGCCAGAAATTGTCAGAAATGTTTTGAATTTAGTATCTGTTTAGACAATAATAGAAGTCAAATAATTATCACATATATGATCAGAGAATAAAAAGTGGGAAGAAAATACAAAGTACCTTCACAAGTATTTGTTGTAATAATTTTAAAGTGCTTTGTGTAGACATATTGTTTGCTTTTTGGCAGACTCTTAACCTATTAGTGGGTCATGAGTTTAATTTGTGATATATGAGTAGTGGTTAGCATTAAAAAAAAAAAACCACAGGCTAGAAGATATCTGCGTATCATATATTATAAGAATAAAGGAGACAGAAAGATCAAATAGTAAATGTACATAATTATCCAGGCTCAGCTGAAAAACCAGAAATACATAAATGCTAAACCAGATGGCATCTAAGACTTTTTAAGATTTCAAGGATTCAATAATGGTATCCCTGGTTTTTAGATAATTTCCATGCTATATTATACTAGATGATTGGAGCAATTTTTAAAAATAAAGAACTATTTTATAACTAATCATATATATATACATGGCAGCAGTCTCCAACCTTTTTGGCACCGGGGGCAGGTTTCGTGAAAGACAACTTTTCCACTCTCTGTGGGTGCGGGGGGGATAGTTTTGGGATGAAACTGTTCCGCCTCAGATTATCAAGCACTAAAGTCTCATAAGGAGTGCACAACCTAGAACCCTTGCATATGCAGTTCACAGTAGGGTTTGCACTCTTATGAGACTAATGCCGCCGCTGATCTGACAGGAGGTGGAGCCCAGGTGGTAATGCTCCCTCACCTTTTGCTCACCTCCTGCTGTGCGGCCTAGTTCCTAACAGGCCAGGGACCAGTACCAGTCTGTGGCCCAGGGGTGGAGACTCCTGCTACAGGGGGCTCAAAACTCTGACAATGACACAGGTATCATACAGACTTAAAAGGGCTTAGGGTAGCCAAGGATTCAGAGCCTGGGATGGATAGTAGGAAAATCCTCAGGACACATGAAAAGAAGCCACGGATGGGAGAAACAGGACAATTTTCTTTTGTATTTCTTAGAACAATCTATAGAATTATACACTTAGCTATTAGAATGATACACTATTATGACCTATCTAATGTTTATGGAAAAATATAAAGCTTTAAAAACATTTTATTTACAATGTACCATTAAAAAAAAAACAACAAATAATTAACTTACAGATACCAGAAGCCAAAGCCAATTCAGAAAATTAGCTTATCCTGGTTTGCTTGATACAATTTTATATAAAACATTTTATTAATTTTTAAAAAAAACCCGGGGTTTGTATAAAGAGATCGAAGTAGTCTTCTACTTTACTGTGTCAAGCTCTCAAAACAAAAAAATTTTTTTTACAACTATTCAATAATGGAGTACCTACAAAGTTGTGAGTTCCAGGGCAAAAATTAACATGATACAGTCCCTTCCTTCAAAGTACTGAAACAAAACTATACCCAAGAAATCTATCAGAACCCAAAGGGAATTTTTTTCTTCCTGCAGCTCACAAAAACATGTTCAAATATTAGCAACTTCATTTGATTCACCTTAAACACTCACGCATACACTCACGTGCATGCATGTGGACATAATCTCTCCCTTTTTTGCAGGGGAAGAGGAATCTAAAACATCAATCATACAGATGTTTGTATTTTATATAAAGGGTGTCTATTTTAACTAAATCCTGGAGGATGAGTTGCATTTAACAACAGCTAAGCAGTTCTCACACATTTTATTTTCAGGGAAATAGAATACAAAATCTTTCAAGGTCTTATATAGAACAAACAACACCCTTTAGGACTTGTTTAATGTTAGTGATTTATTGCTTTAAATAAATGTATATTTCATAGCTGCAAGCATGATAATCATCACTGCTTCCAAGTAATAAATGCTGCTCCCTGTAGGAATTATATTGACAAGCACTTTTTTTTTTTTTTAAAGATAGCTTTTTATTTATTTGTAGGAATCACCATGGCTGCTGCTTTCTAGAGATTCTGGGAGAGAGGGCTTCTCAGCTACCAACTGAAAGTCTTAAATTTCCAGGAATGACAGACATATATTTTAATAATCAGCATTTTCTTCCACAACTATTTTAAAATGAACAGATTCAAAAAAGATAGATTAGTTTATAAAATGGCAACTTCCAAATCAATCTATTCATAAGCAATGTTTCACCTATTTTTTTTTAAAAAGCACCTATGAACAAAGATTCTGAATTGAAATGGTAAATTGAACACACTTCCAATTTACTTCTTTAAAACTACAGGGGATTAAAAAGAAAGAAATTGGCAAGGGCAAAGAGGGAGAACGTGAAACGCACTTTTGGACATTGGAAATCAGCTGAACATGTGGTATCGGACCCAAGAAAGTGAACAGGGAATTGGAGAGTGAACCCCATTTTTAGAAATTGTAAATCAGATTAACATGCAGTATCAGAAACAGGAAAAGTATAAACCTAAGTCTTCAGGGGGTGAAACAGAACCATTCCACTCAGGCCACTCCCCTGCTTCCATCAGCCCAGCCTCTACTTTACTCTTCTTCACTGCACTCACTGCCTGCAATGGGTTTTACTTGTTCACTTGCTGATCACATGTCTCCCCTAATAGATTGCAACGAACAAGGACTTTTGCCCTTGTTCAGCACTGAGTGAGTTGCCAGGACCTAGAAAACCTAGAGCACATAGAAGGGGCTCACCCACCCACATTAGCTGAATGCATAAATAATAATTACCATACATTATTCATCTATAAAGAGTTAACAATTCCCATAAATTATTTCAATTAAATTTTGAATGTCTAATCTAAGGTTTTGTGGGTTTTTTTTTTTTTTGCCTTTAATTTCCTAGAATATTTCACCATTCCTGAAATGGTGAAAGTTTTTCCTCATACATGTTTGTGCCACTCAAACTCATGCAACAAGTCACTCCACACCATCCTATATCTAATTCCAACACATTCAGTTCATTTAACTGCTCTTCAAATATGTATTGGCCCAAGAGTTGGGGGAGCGGTACAACAGATGAGCGAGGCTCAGGCAAGGGTGGCTATAGACCCTGGAACTCTCACGGAAGGATGACTCTCAATGGAAGTTGCTCTCATTTCCAGTGCTCTAAGAAACAAGCCAGAGTCTGGGAGGCATACTCAAACCCAAAACAATTACTACACAACCAACTCCTGCTACGATGGAAAGGTCGATATAAAGCTACTTAAATTTTTAACCTCTGGGTACACTTAAACAAAGTCACTGCAGCACAATTCACAATAGCAAAGACATGGAATCAACCTAAATTCCCATCATTTATAGACTGGATAAAGAAAATGTGGTACATGTACACCAGGGAATACAACACAGCCACAAAAAGAACAAGACTATGTCTTTTGCAGGGACATGGATGGAATTGGAGGCCATTATCCTTAGCAAACTAACAGAGGAACAGAACCTGTAAGTGGGAGCTAAATGATGAGAACACATGAACACAGAGAGGCGAATAACACATACTGGGGCCTTTCAGAAGGTTAGCGGGTGGGAGGAGGAGGAAGTTCAGGAAAAATTATCAGTGGGTACTAGGCTTAAAACCTGGGTGATGAAATAATCTGTACAACAAACCCCCATGACACAGGTTTTCCTATGTAAGACACCTGCACTTGTACTCCTGAACATAAAATAAAAATTAAAAAAAAAAAAAGAACAAAAACAGCAAAAGAAAAAAAGTCTCAACCATCACACAGCCTATATGCCACTAACCTGACATTTTGCTCTCTCCTTCCACCCACTTGAGTCTTCATATGAAACCAGAGTAGAAGCAAATTTATTATGACAATTTTACCAACTGCCTTTATGTTTACATACAGAAAACATGAGCTTAATAAAAATAGGGCTCACGAGGAAATTAATAGAAGTAATATTGCTTGAAAGTCTCATTTTAACTTTTTTCTTTTTTTTCGCCATAAACTAAGCTTAAGAAAGGGTTTATGTGGAAAGAGTTTCTTAAGAAGTTTCATTCACGTTATCATTTGTAGATTCCTGAAGGTAAGACTGAGTAAACTTGATTTTTTCCAATTTTTGTCCAACAAATACTATTGTTTATAAAAAGGAAATTAATAAATTAATGATTTTTAAAAGTCTACAAGTCTTGGGCTCTTATTTCATCACACAGTTTTACCACTGAATATTTTTAATTGCTCTTAGATTCATTTTACTGTTCAAGCTTACCAATGTCATCATCTGTCCGGTCAATTGGGTCCTTCTCCAGGCAGTCTCTCACAATGTCCCTGCTCATCAGAGGATCTGATGCTCTCTCAATGTCTTCTTCATCGTCATCGTCCTCGGAATCCACTGCTGTTTCTGGCAACCCACTCAGGTCCATATCACCAGCCTCGCTTTCTGTGGCCTTAAGACACACACACGCACGCACACACACAAATTAAAAACTATTTTAAGTAAATAAATCTTTGGGGCCCAAAGAAATAAGAGCAAGTCTCATTCAAAATAATGCTTTTGTTATATTTATTTTTCCATCCAACAACTACGTATGCACCAGAAACTACGTATAACAATTACTTTAACAAAATATGAGTGATTCCACCTCCTATTAAATTTTTGGTTAGGAATAATGACTTTATCTCAGTAATTCTGATTTCTTATCTGAGCTGTCATATGGCATGTGAAACACAGTAGAATAAAGAAGAAAAAGGTAGTATTTGTTTTCACTCCATTTTTCAAAGAGAATGGCTTAGGCTAACAGCTTAAGGGTGACAATTCTGAGGAATTCCTTTTGCAGAACAGGTGTGAATTTATTAATGCCAAGAAGCCCGGACCATTTCACCCCTATTAAATAGTCCTTATGGAAAAATGAGCCACAAATCAAAGGTAACTTGATAAATATGCAAATGAAACATTAACAATTAGATTATCCCAATGACTAATGTTAAACGATAAATTGAGAAACACTATAGGAGACCATATGCTTAGAGGCAACATGCTCTTTCTTTCCACTCATCAACAAAGGTGATCACATCACCAAATTTCAAGTTATCAAGATACTTGCAAATTTTCTAAGTCACTGGAGTCACACATTTCAAGATGGTCTCTTTTGTTGGACTAGCTCAATCCTAGAACAATTATCCTTTCTACGTCACTATGTAGCCTTTTGTGACTATCATCTCAGCAATATGTATGTATATATCATATAGATCTTATTTGACATTATATACCTAGACTTCACTTATCAGTTAAGCACAGTAAAAATGAATTCAATTAAATATTAACTATATCAATCTTGAACGTGTTTTTCCAAATGAAATATTAAAATCTTGAAAACATCTTATTATAGCTAACACTAAATACTTTTTTTTTTTTTTGAGACGGAGTCTTGCTCTGTCGCCCAGGCTGGAGTGCAGTGACCAGATCTCAGCTCACTGCAAGCTCCTCCTCTCGGGTTCACGCCATTCTCCTGCCTCAGCCTCCCGAGTAGATGGGACTACAGGCACCCGCCACTTCGCCTGGCTAGTTTTTTGTATTTTTTAGTAGAGACGGGGTTTCACCGTGTTAGCCAGGATGGTCTCGATCTCCTGACCTCGTGATCCGCCCGTTTCGGCCTCCCAAAGTGCTGGGATTACAGGCTTGAGCCACCGCGCCCAGCCACACTAAATACTTAACAATGTATCAGGTAGTGCTCTAATTGCTATGTATTTATTAAGTCATTTAATCCTTGAAACAACCCTATAAAGTAAGGGCCATTATTAACTTTTATTATTCCAACACTTAGGTGAAGAGAAATAATTTCTCCAAGGTCGTGCTGCTGATAAACTGTGGAATCAAGACTAGAACCCAGGAATTCTGGCTTCAGAGTCTTAACCGCAATCTAATCTGCCTCTTTTTAACATTCACTGAATACAAATGTGGCTTATATAAGGATCTATCCTTTTCCTATAATTTAATACTTACAGAATAAATTGTGCTATTTTCTCTTTCTCCCTTCCTCCTCTCCCCTCCCTCCCTCCCTCCCTCCCTCTCTCCCTCTCTTTCTTTTTTCTTTCTTTCTTTGAGACAGAGTCTTGCTCTGTTGCCCAAGCTGGAGTGCAATGGCATGATCTTTGCTCACTGCAACCTCTGCCTCCAGGGTTCATGAGATTCTCATGCCTCAGCTGGGACTACAGATGTGTACCACTGCACCCAGCTAATTTTTGTAATTTTTGTACTCTTAGGAGAGATGGGATTTTATCACGTTGGCCCAGCCAGTCTTGAACTCCTGGCCTCAAGTGATCAGCCCACCTCAGCCTACCAAAGTGCTGGGATTACAGGCATGAGCCACCGCGCCCAGCCTGTGCTATTTTCTTATCAACAAAGTTTCAGCTTTGTGAAGTCCTGGTTCATATCACAGAATATAAGATTTAATCCTACATTTTGAAATAATACCAGCATGTGTTAACAATGAGTTTTAATCACATTTTCTGTTCTTTAGGTACAATTTCCTGAACTAAAATGCATATATTATTTTTTAAAAAAACTTAAAGGGAAAATAATTGAAGACAGAAAAGCTAATGTTTATGAAAGTTCAATGGCCTGGTCATTAATAAGCAGAGATACTGCAGGCAGGAGAGCAGTAAGCCACAGCAGCCCATACAGACAGAACTGTGACACACTCAGAAACACATCTCGTAATTTAAGCTCAAAGTTAACTGAATCATTGCTAGATTCAATAAGGAAACTGAAGTAGAACTTGATGTGATATAGTATGCCAAGGTTCTGGTTAGAGAAAATAGGTCAACATTGTTACCAGCATCTGACCCTGAAGTCTAGAAATATAATTTGCTAATGCTTGCTATGATCACATTTTCACGTTAGTTGCATCTTCACATTGAAGACTATTACTCATCACCTTATATTTTCAAAAATATTATCAGTTCTCTATATAAACATTCTTTAATATTAGCATAGAGTGAAGGACACTACCAAAGACAGAAATTTTAAAAATCTTTATTTTCAATAATAATTTATATAACTAAAGGTTTCTTTAATTTTAAAACATCTAATGTATGTGAAAAGATGAAATATATTTTATACCACCCCAAAGAAATAACTATCATTTAAATTATTTATATTTAAGTCTTAAGCAGAACATAAAGACTTTCAACTGTCAGCTGGATTTCTCTCTCCCAAATGGAACCTTCCACTTTATGTAAAAGATCACAGCTGCTTGCTATCTCTATGTGCATTCCATGCTTTAAGAAACAAACTATTCATAAAATAACATTTACTAAACCAAAAATTTAGAGATTATTTAGAATAAATATCCATTTTACCTTAAAATACTACATATTCCCTAAATCATACTTTTTAAAAGAATGTGATAAACAACTTTTCAGGGACCTACTAATTTCATAATACCACCGCCTTGTGAACAAGATGTTTAGAGACTGAGGAACACAAACTGGTCTCCAGGAGGAGTACTAAACTTAAGAAGAGTGCCTAGAATATAGTATTAACTGTGTGAACAAACTCAGTTTCGTGGCTCCAAATCTCACCTCTACTATTCATGATGTGATTTTAGCAAAGTCACTTAACCTCCACAAGCCCATCTTATCATCGATGTAAACTGTAGATACAGCTTGTTACTATTCACAGGACTGCTTTTGGATCATACATGGGAGAAAGAAAGCCAGTGTCAAGGTAGATCAAAAGTCCCTTCCTCAAGGGGATGCAGTCTTCATCTTAGTACTCGTACACCTTCTACCTCTCCCCATACCATCAATGAACCTTGCACACAATTTATATTTGTGGAATTTGTCCAAAAAATCCCAAAAAATTCTGTCAAATGCTGCACTCTCCTTGTAAAACAGTATCTTAGACTAACTGCACCAACACATTCTGGCCAACTGGTTCATACAACAATTATAAAAATAGTGATCCTATATTGAATGACTATCATATGTATCTAGCACTGAAGTTGATGTTTTAAAACAATAATCTTCATATCAATTCAGCAAGTTAGTATTATTAACCCTATTTTACAGAGGAGAAAATGTCAAGGAAATTAAATAAGTTATTCAATGTAAGCAAAACAAAACCCAGTAACTGGCTAGGATTCAAAATCAGGTGTGACCAACCAAGAAATACTAAGTACTCTGCACTTTGCTCAACATTCTCAATAGTCTTATAAGAAATAGTTGAAACATAATACAGTAATAAAATGTTTTCAACTTTGCTAAGTCATAAAAGATACAAAGTTTAAATACATATTTGCATTTAAACATAACACTTATTGTTTTCTAGCTTCCTCCAAATAACACTACTAAGACTCATGTGTGTCTTTAAGCCCTTTTTTTCTAAATAAAGACACTAAAACAGACGCTTTATATTTAAAAGTTTATCTGGATATATTTGTTACAGGAACAAGGAGAAAGGTTTAGCCAAATAACTCCTGTCTAATTTCCTATACATGTACAGACTAACATAGATTTTGTTGTCCATTAATATTTAAATAGTGATATTCTTTTAAAAATAATATGCTCAGATCAATGCTGAAAGCTCCACTATTTAAATCAAAAGGGACTAAATCTATTCTGCTATTGTGAACAGTTCTTAAAACCAATTTATTTTACATTATTTTAAAAAATCAAGAAAATTAACAAAAAATTTTTTATGCCATAAAGCTCTACTGAAGTATTCATTTAACTAAAATAAAAATCAAATACTGCATGTTTTATCAGTAAGCACTTTAAAATCACTTGCCAAAAAAGTGTTGCTTATTAAATGCATATTATATGCCTAAAAGAGAAGAACGATTTTTAAAGCTCTTAATGTAAATCGTTAGGTTGCTTCCCCAAAATTACAATCCTACAAGGAGTATATAAAAATGTCTATAAATGTTTACTTTAGGTAAGAAAATCTGTGCGAATTGATAGGCAGAATAATTTCATATTTAAGTCCTTATATGCTCAATTACTATTATGTTTCAAATACTTAAGGTGTAGACATCTGCATTTTCTTTTCTGTAAGTTACCTACTACTGTCCTTTGAACATTTCAACATTGTGAGCTATTTTCTAATTTGCATAAATTAGTTATATTCTGATTTTAAATCTTCATATCAATTGATGTTTTGATTACAAAATGTTTTGATCCTTTACTAAAACACTGTTTGCTAACTCTTTAGTTTATCAGGAATTTATTTTAATTACGATACAAAATGAGAATACAAAATGATTCCCCAACTCCAAAGACCATTTATTGAATGATCCATCACTTTATTGATTTATGAAGTTTCCTCTATCACATATTACATCCTTACACGAGTTCAATTTTGCTGGAACTCTCTGTTCTATTGATCTATCTATTTTTGTATAACTATTTCCGGTAACCTTTTTTCAACTTAAGAAGGATCTTTGCT